TAATAAAGTATCTATTTAATGTTAAATTAATCAAATATTATCCTTCAGTATGTCTAAATGCAGCGTAGCAGTCAGACAGTACCTTAAATTTACTACTGAATCCTTACCAGCTCCAGTCCTTCGACCTTTGACCTCCACGTGGAGCGTTAAATAGGTCAAACAGTAAATGCTGTAGTTTGTGAATCTGTTTCTGAATCAGTCGTCTTCTCCTCCAGAGTTTAAGACCCCGACCAGAGTCCCGAGATCCAGAGCGGGTCCTGGTTTCAGCGCCGAGTCTCCGCACAACGACTCCGACTTTCAGCAGGACATCATCTGGGACGCCACGTCTCCTTCGCCCAACAGACTCGGTAAACTTCATCATCAAGTCTCTGAAGAGTTCCTCTCCAGAATGTTTGATAAAGTTCATCCTGTCAGTTACTGTTTCCTGAACGTCTTTGGTTTCCTGTTCGAGGTCTGTTGATGATTCTGTTTTTCTCTTCCAGGTAAAAGAGGCAAGAAACAGCCGACTGGAGTTGTGGACATCTCCGAGATCGTCAGCAGGATCGCTCCAAAGGTCCGTAACGCGGCCGACGTTCACTTTGTGAAGGATTATTAATGTTCTCACTGTTTAACATTCCCGTGTCGTCTTTCTGAAGCACGGCCGGCCGAAGGTTGCAGAGCCGACTTTGCAGCAGTGGATCGGAGACAGCGCCGCCATCCCCTGCACGCCGGACCTTCAGGTTCCCAAACCCAAAAAGAAATCCCCGAGGTAGGTTCAGAAGAAGCGACAGATCCAACCCGATCCTGCTGACACCTTCCTGCTGTGATGTTCTGAGTTTGCACTGTGGAGACGTCCTGGCTTAGCTTCAGCTTCAGTTAGGATCAGTAAGATTCTGAGGTTGTGAAATGATTTCAAAGCTTCTTTCTGTAACTTTCAGTGTGTTTACATGTGCAGTGAGTATTATGAGCAGGTTTAGGGAGGGTCCTGGTTATGTTTCACACGTGTAAACACCACATCCTGGTTTCAGAAACCTGGATGAGCATCATATTGGGGAATTTGATCAAAACTAGAATACTCATGTGGATGTTCTTTAAGGTCACTCACTGTCACATTAAGCTCCGACACACAGCGAGTTGAGGTGGAGCAGCCGGAGGACGTTGGAGGGAGAACCAGAAAACATTTTCTCATAAAATCGGATCCAGTTTCATCAAAATCAGTCACATGATGTCGACTTAAAGTGTTACGCAGACCAAAGAACGGGAGTCCGGGGTTGAATGGGGCTTTAAAGAAAAGTGAAGAAACAAGGTTTATCTGTTAAAGAGAGACAGCTATAACAGTCTATTTGTCATTTTTGACTTCACTCATTGAAATAAAAATGTTGTTAAATTATGTTAAATTCTGGTTTATGGATGTAGAATTCGCCCAGAAGCTAAATGAGGTTAAACACACAGACTCTTCTTTTCCATCAGTAATCTCTATTTTGTTTTTCAGGCCCAACGGAGTGGACGACCTGCTGAAACTCGCCAAACAGTTTGACTTCAACATGTTTCACCAGGATGAAGAAGAAGTGGAGGAGCACCAGCAGAGTCTGGAGCTCCTGTCAGACGACATCTTGGATTCAGTCTTTTCACCTTCGCTTCCTGGAAACCGCCAACCAGCGGCGAACGCAGCGGCCGGCGCGGACCCGGATCAGCATATGGAGGACGATCTGGAGTTTCTGTTTGACGGGCCGACCCAACACGTGAGCGGAAATCTAAGTCAGGTGTCTTCGGCTCAGCCGTCACAAGCGAAACCGTCTCCCAGAGAGGCTTCTGGGAAACCGCCTTCTTCCTCACACGGCTCCACTTCTGGTGTTTCTACGACAAACACTAAAGGCGCCGCGGCGAACGATGAGTTTGAGGACGATTGGGAAAACGACGACTTGCTAAATGACTCTCTGGTGTTGGAGATGACCCAGAATCCGCAGAACTTCGCGGCTCCGAGTCACTGCTCGACCCAGAAACCAGCCAGTGGAACAAAACATCAAAGGGAAAGTCCAGCAGATGTTCCCGTCAGTGGAGGTGTCGGCCAATCAGCTGCTTCCAAGGTGGGGAAGGACAAGGTGAGACAAAGAACGAGTTTCAAACTGGAGTCTAATTCAGATTTCTCCGCCAAAAGAATCCAGACAGACACACGGACAAACCCGAAGGTGGATTACAGCTCGGAAACGGCACTTAAAGACACTCATCAGAGCAGGTTTTCATCCGGTACCGGTGCTTCGGTCAGCGCCGGGTCTCAGCGTACCACGGCGGCGTCGGACCCACAGAAACCGTTTCATCAAAAGACTTCAGCTGGAAGCTCCAACACGTCAAACACAGCTGCTACCAAACCCCCTCCGAGCTTTCCACAAAGACCTGCGGTACTTCCGACCCACCGCCAGCCGCCTGCTGTCTCCGACCTCCTGGACGAGGACCTGGACTCTTTCTTCACGACCGACCCGGTCTGGGATGACCCGGCTGACGACGACCTGCTGTGTGAGCTGTGTGAGGACTTGGAGAACCAGATCCAGAACACTGAGAACGTTAAAACCACTAATCAGACTCTTCCTGTGGGTCAGAACCAGAGAGCGGCTCTGCAACCGGCCAGCAGAACCTGGGACAACAGAAACCAATCAGCCAATCAGCAACCGGTTCCCCAAAAACAGACGCCAACCGCGCTCCCCTGTGCTCCGGCTGCTGGTTTCACCTCTAACAGCGTTACGGCCGTACAAAGGAACACAGTGACGGGTTCTTTCAGGTTCACTCAGGCAAGAAACGCATCAGGACCCACGAACACTTCAGCATGTGTGCAGGGGAGCGGCCGGGTCCAGGGGACCGGGTCCAGGGGAACACCCGGGTCCAGGGGAACACCCGGGTCCAGGGGAACACCCGCAAAGACCAGTTCACCTTCAAGAAGCCGAACAGCCCGGTTCCTACGGCGGCCTGTAAAGGTAAGAACTCCTTCACACAGAGAACCAACACAACTGCCATCACTTATTCATACTGAACCTTTCAGGGTTACAAAGTGCTTTTACAGGTTAAAAAAACATCAGTAACAATATAAAGAATAAACAAACACTGTAAAACAAAGCAATAAATAAAACAATAAAACAATAAAGAACAGTCATTGGAGCTGTGGATGTTGCTGGCAACTCATTTTGACTCGTCTAAAAGTAAGAAAACGTTCATAAAACACACACACACAGTTATATTCAGACACACTGATACCTTCCACACAGTTTATGAAATGAAATTATTAGTAAATCAGTATTTAAATGTCAGTGACCGTGTTGCTACTGAACTGGACAATAGCTGCTGTGGATCCAAAGGAAGACGCTGTTGATGTTATTAGACGAAGAGCGAGACTCTGTAGCTGGTCGCTGTGAGATAACCTGATACACGAGATGCCTTTAGAGCTTTTATTTGATATTCGTTCCACCGCTGGCTCGATTCACTTCACAGCGCCGCCGATGATGTGAAGCTGCAGAGGATAGTGTTACAGCGTATGCAGCGAGGCTAACAGCTGTTTTATAATGTGATCACTAGTTCCTCAGAGCTTAATAACGTCCTCACTCATTATCAGGGTTCCCTGGAAGGCCTGGAAATTTAGAGACTCGTTCTCCAGTCATGGAAACACCTGGAATTTCATTAAAATGACCACGCCGCTGCCTCACCGCTCGGACCCCCCCCCAACTCATTACTGCTACTCATTAAAGAAACTTCTCTCGCTTTTTTTCTCTTTTTTTCCCCGTGAAGTCAAAATCAATGTTTGTGTTTTTATTAGGGTGGGTAAAAATATCGATACGGCAATATATCGAGATACTTTGCCCAATATAATATCGATCTTTCAACTCCAAAGATCGATTATTTTTAAGAATAATGATTTATGTTTAGACGCGCTGTGAATACAGTACGACTTCCGTACCTCCACTCCGGTAGATGGCGCCGTAGAGCGACTCTGCTGTGCGGTGCATGTATTTCTGTATTAGACAACGCCTCCGCAGTTTAAAGCCGACGTTTGGAAGCACTTTGGCTTCCAAGTTAAAAAAGATAGTAAGAACAACGAGTTGGATAAAGATAATGCCGTTTGTAAGCCTCGTCTCGCTGCTGAGAAATATTGTGGGAACACAACGAACTGAGATATTAGCACAGAAGCAGCCGCCACACCAGACTACGCTGGACAACTTCCTACCCTCTACCTCACCTCGTGCTCAGCGTATCACAGACTCGATGCATTTCATATGTAAAGATTTGCGCCCTTATAGCGTGGTAGACAACGTTGGCTTCAGGTGGATGCTACGTTGTTCGGAGCCGCGTTACAAAATACTGCAACGCGGCTCCATGGTGAACACAGCTGTGCCCAATATTCAATATTTATTTCAGTGAATGTCATAGAAATTAATAAATGGAGAGGCTGTTTTTAATGAAATAGTTTTGACTCAGTTTGTCCTCTGATCAATATCATGTGATGTACATATTCAGGTACTTGTGTTCATCTCTGTTTATATCGTGATATCGCGATATCCTGATAGATGGTGATACTATCGTATCGTGAGGTTCTTGCCAATACTCACCCCTAGTTTTTATTCCATATGTCTCCTGTCCTCCAGTTTCTGTCCCACAAACTGTCCTTTTTTAGGTTTTTCCAGGTCTTCTTATTATTTTAGAGTTTGGGTTTCGGGGGCGTTCAGTAATGTTGGGACCAAAGAAACACTTTCTCTGTTATGATGAGTGTTTCTGAGGTTTTCTGTTTCATGGGGACTTCAACCCGAGCCCGAACATACAGCTATGATCTCTATCTCTATTACAAACCGCCTCCCACTGTTTGTATCTGTTACATTTCCATACTGTTAGTTTGTTTCTTCTGTGCTTTGTCTGCAGTTTCGAGCAAATGTTCAGCAGCGGAGATCGAGCTGAAGAAGCAGCAGGCGATGGAGAGACGGCGACAGCGACTGCAGGCCGCCCAAAACCTCCGAGCTCCCACCTGAGTCACCTGCAGCCGTCAGAGCTCCGACTGCGGCTCCTCCTGATCAATGTAAATCTCTCAATCGGCTCGGCCAACGCTTCCTGTACGAATTACTTCCTGTAAAATTAAACTGTACACGTAATGTCAAATCATGTTTATGTTGCCTTTCTGTTCAGATCTTCTACCGCTTTTTCTCTCGTTTTTAAAATCAAAACCATGTTTTTATGTGGAGCTGGAGTCAGGATGTGGTTAGCCTAGCTTAGCATAAAGACTGGAAGCAGGGGGAAACAGCTAGCCTGGCACAAATACACCAACAGCACCTCTAAAGCTCACTGATTAACACACTGCACACAAACTGAGAGCTTCAGGTATAGTGAACTATTTCTTGACAGACCACAGTGTATCCCTCCGCCCGCCGAGATCGTCTTCCTGCCCGACGTCGTTTACGTAGTTTGACGTTTTCTGTGTCTGACGTTCCCGTGGCGTCGATCTGACACAGAAGTATAAATCCGGTTTATTTCTTAACTTTGGACAGAGCCTGACCAGCTGTCTTTATGCTAAGCTAGGCTAACCACATCCGTCTGATGGGTTAAAAAAGTTAAAAAGCTGATTCAGGAAATCGTTCATACGCTGTCTCTTTAAAGAGCTGCTTACCGTCAGGCTAGCAGTTTCCCCCTGCTTGCAGTCTTTGTGCTAAGCTAGGCTAACCACACACAGTTGGATATTCCTTTACGTTATTCTAACCTCTACAATCTGCTGTGTTCTCTGTATTTTCTGTGAAGCACTTTAACTGATTTCAGTGTTTTACCAATAAAATGTTTTATTGTCGATATCGAGGTTGGTTGTTGGTCTTCGTTACGAGCTGATGGGATCTAAACACAGACCCGCTTTCATATTCAGACCCTTTATGATGGTGTGTGGACTGATTTGCAGCTTGTGCAGTAATGTTTTAGATCAGTTACTTAAATAAAAGTAATACAACTACAACGTAAATATACTCAATACACAAGTATTAACAAAATGTGAAGAAATAATGAAGCCGCAGAACGTCGATGGTGTGTGACTCTGATTTCTGATTATATTTGATTATTGTTCTGTGTTTTAATATAGTTGGTGGGGGTGAAGCCAGTTTATTTCCCTGTAGCTGCTGAATAGAGTAAAAAGAGTAAAAAGTACAATATGTTCTTCTGAACTGTAGAGTACTACAATGTGACCTCCGCACTGTAAAGCAGTAGTTCTACGTCCCGCCGCTGAAAGAAGTCAAATAAACCTGTGTGTGTTCATATAAAAGTCACAGCGTCACCTGAAGATCAGCCGGTGGTACTCACCTGTCCCTGTGCGGTCAGGTGGTCCGGTCGGCCTCGTCAGGTCTCTTCATTAACAGTCTGGCAGCTGTCTGATGGGGCAGATATCGTCCCGGCAGGTAAACCGAGCCCCGTTATCAGCAGACAGGTGTGTAACTGTAGTCCAGCACGCTGCTGCAAATCACAGGCGCACTGATGTAATCTGCCTCGGTTTAATCACGCTGCCTTTGTCCCGAACGTACTCCAGGATCCACTTTACTCCATTTGTAAAGGAAATTTCTCTCAGAAGCAGTATTTTAATTATAAAGGAGCCATTTTGGGTTGGAGCGGTTTCTGTAAACTTACTGAGTACTGCGCGCCGGCGTCACCAAACACTTATATGATGGTATTTTACAAGATTCTGACTGGGTTATATGTATATATATATATATTATATATATATAGGGTTATCGTATAATATACGATGACATTAAAATATACACTATATTATAGTGAAAGCATTGATTACTAAGACTTCACTGTGTAGCACAGGGCAATGCAGTGCAAAGAGAATAAAATATAAAATATATAGTGTATATATGTACACGTGCAGTGTTGTCCAAGTATTGTGTTTGTACATGAGGTAACGGGTACCGGGTTCTGGGGTCTGATGGCACAAATGATGCATGCTGGGATGTTTTTAGGATTTTTTTTGCAGTGAAATGGTGGCAGAAAGTGAACATTGCTATAAAGGTAACGTTTTTCTCGTATAATTCATTAAAAACCGAATGCAGCTGGTTCCAGTGAGAATATAAGTGTGTTTGTACAGTGGCTAGCTCACTAATGAATCTTCACTCTGTGTGGCTAAAAGTTGCAGATTGATTGACGGGTGAATGTCAGGATATTATTGGTTGAAATCAGTTAGTTCATGCTGACGTAAACACGCATCACATTTAGTTTCACAGGAGGACACAATGATTGGTTGACACATCGTCAAATAGGGATCAATATGACGGGATGTAATGTAAAAAGACATTTTAGCATTTTATCTGAACAAACTGAAAAAGACTGAATCTAGGCGGTCAGTGAGGCGCAGAGTGTTTGTGGAGGTCTCCTGCCCCCCCTGGTGGCCACCAGCTGATTACTGCAGCTTTAATAGACTCTTTTAAACTCTTACAGTTTCTCACAGAGCAAGAAACCAAACAGCCACATTTGAATGGCGAAGATGGAGCTCACGGTCGGCTGGTTTACATGAATACACTCACACTCACTCACTCACACACACACACACACACACACACACACACTCTGGTGGTGTGCCGGTGACCCGCCGGGTTAGCCGAGCGGTTTCATGGCCTCACCTGACGCCTACAACAACATGGCTGAAAGTGTTTACGGCAGATCCTGTTACCCGCTGCAGCCGACACTTACCTGCAGGTGAAATGAAGTTACCTGAGAGTTACACTGAACTCTGAATGACCCCCCCCCCTCACTCTGCTGCATTAATTATTCCCAGGACAATCACAGAGGATAGTGACAGGTGAGAGGACAGCCTGGTGTCTGTCCAGCCTTCGCAGACACACGGATAAAGAGCGGGACAGGTTTCACTTTAAAGACGCTTTCTGACGTCCTCGACATGCTAACGTCACAAAAACGGCGAATACACACCCTACTTTGTTGTCCTGGAAAATGTGAATAGTACTTTAGTCTGTGTGAGTGTTACACTGGTTCCCAACCTTTTTCCTTAAAGGAGTCCTTTTCTATCACTGAGTGAACTAAGGGACATAATATTCAGAATATTATTTTTAACAATAATAATACAGAACAGCTGATAAACTGTAAACAGTGAACTCAGTAAAGTAAGTTTGTGTAAGAACTATATTTTTAGGAACTTTTTATAACTGAAGTTTTTATTTTTGACAGATTCAGTGTTTCCTTCGCATTGTTCATCAGCTCTGTGGTTGTTTTCTGACGCTGGACGAGGAAACTGAAGGATCTGTGAATATAACTTGGTCTTCAAATTTTATATCTCGAGTCGCGAGGCCTTCTTGATTTTTAGTGTTGTAAGAAAACTTTAAATATATACACACAGTAGGCCAATGTCTCAGCAATTTGGTTCATTTCAAGAAAACTAAATTAAATAGTTCACATTGTTTACATATTCTGTATTGTATTGTTAAGAGGATTGTTACAGACAGAGAACTGTATGAAAAGTTCCTAAAAAATATCAGTAAAACTAATCTCTGATCAATATTCAGAGGAGATAATCAAATCTCTGGTTTTACATGAACTTCCTGCAGTTAATGAGTTCACTGTTATTATTAAATATAATATGAAATATATAAGTATGTCACAGTCGGAGGTCGGCAGTTTACTCAATGATAGAAAACGGGTCCATTAAAGGAAAATGTTGGGAACCGCTGCCTTTAATTTACGAAGGCCTCCTGACCTCTTCTGGTGCTTTGGTGACCTCTAGAGGGTGCCCCAACCCTCAGGTTGAGAACCACTGCGTTAGAGGGAAACTGTCTAGGTTTAAATGATGACCACTGTGTAGAAGCTATTGTTAGAATAACTCCTGGAAAAGCATTTCTTAGGAATCGTGTAGTTTGAGCCATCGATTGTTCAGAGAGACATCGCAGAGGTCGGCGCTGCAGCTTTCATGTTGGCTCAATCTGGAGTCCAAATCACAAACAGATGAGCGGGTTTCCAGCGGGAGGTGGTGGGTTTGGGGGTCCGAGGGCGCAGCTGAGGGAGTATGAATGAGACTTTTAATTGGCAGCGACGGCGGCAACTGGCCGGTCAGACCTCTGACAGCAGCTGATCGGATTCGGACGAGACCGGTTTCATCGTGGAGCTAAAAACTGAATCTTTCTTCCACCGAGAATAAAAGTGAAATAAAAACTTAATCAGCTCTAATCTGTAACATTTCCTCATTAAACAGTGTATAAACTCTGGCTTTATGTTCTATGTGTAGTTGAGTTCTTACACTATCCCAGATGTTTCCAACAAAGTTCAAACTCAGAGAAATCTGTCATTTTATTCAGGTAACGCTGCGTTTCACCGGTCGCCTGTCGATGGCGTCATATCCCCTTTGTGCCTGCGTCAGCGTTGTGGTTGTCTGCCAGAAGCTGTCATACATTGACTGTTGATCCAGTCTGAAGCCACATTGTTACCATCCACTGTTTAGATCTTGGTGCTTTTTAACTCTAGATTTGAACCGGATGAAGGATTTTAGTCATCAGACGTCTGGATCTTAAGTTATCAGAGAAACAAGCTGAGCTAACGTTAGCAGCAGCTCAGCTCACATTCTCCTTTTGTTTAGTGGCATAACTGGGCTTCCATACTTTTAATTTAATTTAATTTTTGTTTGCATATATTGAAAAATTATTGTCTTATTACAGATTGTGTTGTAGTTTCATTGCCGATCATCTGTTCAACTACAGCAGCACAATTAATCTAAATTATATCAGAATTTTTTTTTTTTTTGACCAATCAGCATTTTGTTCAGACCAAACTCATGTCCTTGATTTATTTTATTCTCACTGGAACAAGTTGCCTTTGATTTTTAATACATAATACTAATAAAAGCAACTAGTTTTAGTATTTAAATATGACTGTTTGCAGCAGTAAGAGTTCCCCTGATTGCTTCTAAAAGACCAGAACCAGGACAGACAGAACCAAAGTACAGTAACAGAATCTCTCCATATAGTGTCTTTATATGTGGCCTCACACTGACCCCTGCTGGTGGGAACAGAGCAGAGCACCTTTAAATCCCTCAGCTGCAACTGTATCAGTGTTTTATTGTCTGGAGCTCACAGAAAGTTGTGTATTAATATTTCTTAAAGGTCCAATATTCAGGAGGAATTATTGGCAGAAATATAATATTCATAGGTATATTTTTATTAGTGTGTAAATAACCTGGAAATAACAATAGTTGTGTTTTTGTTTCCTTCGAATGAGACGTTTTTATCTTCTACGGAGTCCGCCATCTTTCTACAGCAGCCCAGAACGGACAAACCAAACACTGGCTCTAGAAAGGGGCTTTTGAGTTTTCTCAGCCACCATAGTTTCTCCTAAACACTTCACAAACCTTTAGACCTTTATTAAAAGAGAAACTATAAAGTATATTACGGATAGAAAGTAGAGCTCGTGGAACATGTATAAATGAGACGGCGTCTGTAACAACTTTCAAACAGTTTATTTCTCATTTTTCCATGTATGAAGTTTGAGTGATGCAGCAGAGATGAAAACAGGAGTAAAAATCTAAGACTGAATCCATCACAAACGTCCCTTTAAACCAACAGAAGACATTTCAGCACCGACCCCAAACTAAACAAGCAGGAAGCTTTGACACCGACCGTTTAGAACAAAACATCATCAACCCAAAGAAAAAAAGAGCAAAAAACAAATACAGAGCGAGTGGCGGGCGACTTCAAACCGCTAGATTACACTTATTTTCTTATTTTTTTTTGTCATTTCCATGTTTAAACCTTTTATTGGCAACATCTACGTGCTTGAAATGTTTTATTTATCACCATTATTAACATGTAAACACAACACGGCCTCACGGAATTTCATGAAATGAGCCAAAACTCTGAAATGCAAAAAATGAAACACAAGATAAATGACGTCATCCTCACCGTGAAACACATGGTCTGATAATAACATGATTCAAATATGAAACAGCTAAATAAACAATCCTGTTTAAGGGTTAAAGTTCTATTGAAAGTAGCTATATTCTAATTATTAAACATGCACCAAAAAACGCCCGTTTTATACTTTATTTCATTGTATAACTGTATAAAAATTCTACCTCACAGAAAATGCCGTCTTTTCAGTGCAAGTAGTCCGACCTAACCGGTAATACGATCACATACTCTTGCATGCACAGAATAGATTATTTGCATTTGCAAGACATTTCACTCATTTCATTAAATTTTGAGACCAGTCTGGTAAACTCGAGCTTTGAAAAAAGACCTTTAATATAAAGCTTTAAAGAGCTTTAATAAAACCTGATCTACATGCAAACAGCAACAGGCAGAAGAAGAAGTTCACACGTCATGCAAACACGTCACAAGTCGTCCGTTTCAGGTATAAAAGTATTTTGCGGCGCGTCGGGGAAAACGAACCGTTCGGTCCGGCAGATTTTCCTGCAGCGCGAACCGAGTTCAGCAGCTTTTAGACTTCCGATGGCCATTTTGTTTTTCTCCTCCCTCGGTTTTGCTTCTTCCCAAAGAAAGGTGGAGTATAAAGACGTGAATGTCCGAAAGCAGAGGCGCCGATTCAGTTCACAAAATATCATTTACAGCCTCTGCCGTACCTCTGAAGCTTATTTCCAAACACTTTTACTAAATCTTAAAGGTGTAAAAACACATACAGAAACTATTTAAAACTATAAATGTAAATGAGTCTTTGCAGCCAGTAGGAGTCCTGCATGTCGTCCAACGATCAGTGGCTTTACCGTTTCTAAAGCGCCATCAAGCAAACCGAAATATTTGGGAGGAATTTCAGCATCTTTCCTCATTTTAACAGTTGACCAGATTTTCTGACAGCAAAAAGATATTATTCCAAATAATATCTGTACGTTTGTTTGTTCACAGTCTGCAGTAAATCAAACCTTTATGTGAAGCAGTTTCCAGAGATTACTAAGACCTGACGTCAGGGTTCGAGCTACCCGGGAGCTCCTGTGGGGGTCGCTAACACATTCGCAACAACCTTTATTCAGCAAGACCAATCGACCAAAAAAACGCTGAGCTGTACGTCACCAAACTCACGTCCTTGTTTCTAGTCGGGTCCAGATGGTTTGATTTTACTCTCAGTGTTGCGAGGGCAGGTGATTAGCACCGTGCCGCCCTAAATCACTGCAGGAGAAATTCCTTCAGTCCATAAAACAATAACACCTACTTCTGTCTGATTCTACAGGGTTAGATTGTGTTCTCTCCCGTTGGCATATTTCAGCCCACTGAAACCTCCCCAGTGGTCGTAAGGTAGGTGTGTGTGTGTGTGTGTGTGAGAAAGTGTTGGACCACGTAATGCTGATTGTTTCAGAGACCCCCACAGTCAGCGGCTGAGAGGTATCAGCGAACAGAACATGAATCCAAAGGACCGTTATTAGTGTCGGACTTACTGCCTGCTGATGTGTGGACGAGGAGAATCGTTGAGAAGTGACTGAAACATTGTTCGCTAGCAGACTGATCACTGTTGCTCTCTGGGACATCAGGTTGTTACTCAGTTACTTTCCCCTCATATTCAGATATTACACAGCATCAAGTCTCCATCAGCGTTAACTAAAAGATGTAATGCTACAGCACAGCTAGCTTCATAATAGCCTAACGATAGATGGTACGTTAGAATGAAGATATAAGGACACTGAATAACATCATTTGGAATCAGTTTGCGAACGAACAAACCGCCAACAACTTTCCTCTTCCACACATCAGTGGGCAATCAGTGCGCCCCGCTGTGCCGTTGGCTGACACCTCTCAGCCACCGTAGCAGAGCTCAGACTGTAACTCGAACCCCATCGACAGCAGCCGCTCGTCCCTGACGCCATCTCAGAGTTACTGTAATAACTAGTTTGTGATTTGTGAGTAAGTCGTCGTGCTGAAAGTGCCTGAAAAAAAGATGCTAACGGATGCTCGCGTACGCCGTCGTTTACAAACATGCAGAGCCCGAAGCGCCGCCGTTATATCTGACTGAAAGAAGCCAAACAGTGACTGTGAATGAAGCTGTTCTTAAAGTGTAAATAATGCAGTACTCCAGTAAGATAAATGCATTCAATAATACAGTTACATCTCCAAAACAAAGACACAGACTTTACCTGTAACTCAACTGCATGTCAGTAAATTCTCGTTGGCACTTCATGCTGTTTGTGTTGTTCTGAAATCAAGTAACATCGCTGCTAACGTCCGTTAACATCTGCTAACATCTGCTAACATCTGCTAACGTCCGCTAACATCAGCTAAAGTCCGCTAACATCTGCTAACGTTTACTTTCTTTAAGATTCTTTGATTCTCGAAAAAAAAAAAAACAATGACACCAAAATAAATATAAAAAACCCACATACCTTGAAAAAACCAGTAAAACATACAGTACACATCCACACACACACACACACACACACACACATATACACACACACACACACACACACACACACACACACACACACATACACACACACACACACACGCACACACACACACTCCAGCTCTCCTCCACCAAACTGAAACCGCCGTTCTGCGTTAAAAAGCCGTCTGTCAGCTTTTAAAGTGCGACGCCGCCGAGTCAATGAGAGTTCAATAATACTTGGTTAAAAGTTTGGCTTCAGAAGGCTCAGGAGGGGAGGAGGGGTGAGGACGGGTGAGGACAGGGGAGGACGGGTGGGAGACGGTGGAGGACGGGTGGGAGACGGTGGAGGAGGGGTGAGGACGGGTGGGAGACGGTGGAGGAGGGGTGAGGACGGATGAGGACGGGGGGAGACGGGTGAGGAGGGGATTTTTCACAGAGAAAAAACTTCCGTTTGAAAAACAGACAAGAGCGTTTTGCTGGACGACGTCTTCAAGCAGATCTTCAGTGAATGGAGGCCAAAACACAAAGTTGTCAGACGTCCACCACCATCTTTTTGTGAATGTCTAATCCACCGACGACCTGGAGGAGACAACAGGAAGTGAGGTCACACACACACATCGTTTCTTGTTTTTAACGTTTAACCAATCACAGTCAGAGTGAGGACGAACGAGGAACAGAACAAGTTTAAAGTTGCACTCTCTGCACGACCTTTATATCGGTTAATGTAATCCAGAGACAGAGTGCAGGACCTGCAGTTTGGGGGTCAATCAAAAAAGCATAAAAGCAAATAAATAAATACATTTATTTATTGCTAACTGGACTAAATCTGCTCTTAATGCTACAAATGTTTCTGGAGTTTTTAACTCTTCAGGCTGTTTCCTTCTTTCCTGGAGGTAAAGTTGTGCCAGTCTATCAGCTGTGTGTTTCAGTCTGAAGCTCTTGTTAGCACACAGGGGATGAGGGGGGAGGAGGGGAGGATGGGAGGAGGGGAGCAGGGGATGAGGGGGGAGGAGGGGAGGATGGCAGGGGATGAGGGGAGGAGGGGGGGGGGGGGGGGGGGGGGGGGGGGAGGCAGCAGGGGATGAGGGGATGAAGCATCGATACTTACAGCACAGAACTCCTCGAAGGATATCCTGCCGTCCCCGTCTTTGTCTGCGTTGATGATGGTTTTGTCGACGATCTGTTGGAGCTGGGTGTCCTTCAGGTTGTTGCCCACCATCATCTTGAGGACCTGGAAGAGCTCCCCGTTGGATATGTAGCCGTCTTTGTCCATGTCATAGATCCTGAAGGCAACTGAGAGGGGGCAGGCAGGGTCGATGTTATTAATGAGGTTTGTCTGAACGGCGTAATTTAGACAAACATACAACAACAACGTGGGATACAAACAGTTGGTGCGTTATTCTCTGTTAAACCCTCTAAGTGATGGATATTTAAAGGTTTAACAGTTATGAAAATGCCTCTCACTGAAATATTATCTCTAATTTTGAATGAATGAAAGTTAAAACAGATGAAACCTGTTGAGATTTAATTTGTCTACATACATAAGTCTGAGTGTAATAATCATAACCCGGGGACGGGAAGGGAACGTCGGCCTGTTGGACACTTACAGCGCAACTTCTGCTCTTTGTCTCCTTTGACGCTGAACTGGGAGACTCCTTCGATGAACTCTGCAGAAGAACAGAAAACAACATCATCGGTTAAAATATTCTATGTGATCGTCTTGTTTATGGATGTGAATCAGACGGGGCAGTGGTTCCCAATCTGGGGGTAGCCAAAGATTCATTGGGGGGGGGGTCACGAGGCCTTACTGATTTTAAGGTATGTAAGGAAACTTTAAAGATATCAACAGTAGGACTATATCTCAGCATCTGGTTCAACGCTGTGAGGAAAAGTTGAAGTAAATTGTCTAATAGAACAATGGACAAGAAAACACTGAATCTGTTCAAAAAGAAGCTGATTAAGTCTGTAAGATTGTTAAAAATGATAAAAATACAGAATACAAACAGAGAATTATATAAAAAGTAAACAGGTAATAATCTTCTTAGCATTAATCCAAATCTCTGGTTTTCTTCCTGCAGTTACTGAGTTCACGGTTCGTGTTCATTGGACAGTTTTTAAATATAATATGAATTATCTGTAAAATGTCACTAAGGAGTTTAAAGACTTATTTAGGAATCCTATTTGATTGTAATTTAAGCATTACGGCCAACACAGAGTACAGAGTACAAGCAACAAGCAGTGCCTGTATCTGATCAGGATTCATTGGATATAAACAGGAATATTTCAGAGGACGTCTATCGAAGTCTTACTGACGGTGTTTGAACTTTTAATGCAACAAACTCAGACTGAGCACAATCACAAACACGGCCAGTGAGATTACTGGGAAAGAGCAGAAACAACAGAGTCTGATCCTGTTTATCCTGTTCAATGCATTCATACAACTGTCCTCTGGAAGGCGCTATCGAGCAGCTGCAGCAACCAGCAACAGCTACACAAACACATCTGTGACTGTCTGTACTGTGTTATTGTGATTTCATCAGCCTGTGAAGGCGAATGTCTAAACTGTGGACAATAAAGATTAATATTATTATTATTGTTGTTGTTAATATTATAATAATAGATAAAGGGTCCCTAAAGGAAATGGCTGGGAACCACTGGTATCAGGGTATCAGTATTAAACTGTAGACTGTTTCATGAGCAGTAAAAACTACTTTTAGTGCGTTTCAAGAAGAAAACAGATCAAAGCTCTTTCCAGAGGCAGCGCACTGATCATCTTTAGGACTGGTGTTAAAACTTTCACACGGGGAATAAGATCCTGTTAAAGTTTAAATTCATTCAGCGTTTGATGATTTATTTACCTTTAAAGTCGACTTCCCCGTTTCCGTCGGTGTCGAATATGTCGATGACTCGCTGCACGAGAGGATTCTGTTGGAGCTCCGGTAAGGACATAAACTCCTCCACACTCAGGGACCCGGAGTTATCTAGGTCGAGTTTCTTAAATCTCTTTCCTAGCCTCTTAATCTCATCAGCATCAACTGAAAACAAACAGAGAGACAGAGACAGAGAGAGAGAGAGTTATCTACAGACAGGAACAAGTTTCAGCTCTACACGAGGAGAATATTTGGACTAAGGACCAGCGACTTTGTGGCGAAGCTTCTTTCTACCAGTGAAGTTGCAGTTTAAACAACCGTACGTCCTTCCTGAGCGGCCTGCATGGACCGCTTCCACAAACAGCACAACCGAACTTACCTGGTTTCCTGTTCCTACCGGCCATTGTAGTTCAGAGCTACTGGTGTCTCACTGCACCAGTGAGGCTGAACCCTGTGCTACCGGACCTCCTGGTGCCGCGCTCTAAGCCCTAACACCGGGTCATGTGACACCTCTTTCAGCACTAATCACTCTGCTGATTACCATGAATCAGCGAGACACAGTGGACCTGGTGGATCCTTTACCCTGTGTTTACATGACTAATGCTCGAAACTAATAGACTAATAAATAGTTTTTTTTGTAAATACAGAAACTCTCCTGAGGTCTGACTCCTGTGTGACTTCCTGCTCAGCACAGATGGGAAAAACTCTCCAATTATTCTGCTTCTCCTGAGCTTTGTTCAGAAAATTCAACAACTAACAGCTTCAATTTCAGGTTATGCTTTTTTCTCTGTGTCGCTGACATTATACTGCAACGTGATGTAGACCACTAACTGCTGTTATGACACTGAACAACCACTAGATGGATCTCAACACAAAGGAATGATGAGCCCAGAGTTACTGGTATTACTATATACCAAACACTGCTGGAATTCATTCATTATCTGTTTCATAAACTACAAAATACTGTGAAGCCGATTTTCCTCTTAGATCTGATAGAAGGTCTATAGACCCTTTTCCCCCTTTGGTGCCACTGAGTGAGCGGAGGTTAAATATGGACTGATATCATTACACCTTCTGTCTGAAACCGTTATCAGAGATATATATATGACAGCAGAACAGGCTCCAATGTGGGCGTCTATCCAGGAAGACCTTACCCTGTGCCGGCATTTATTACTCACACCAATGGTGTTATCCCTCATTATAATCCAGCTTCACAGCAGACGGGGAACACAAGAGCACACAAGCCCATATAAAACTCAAAACAAAACTCGTATAAGCTTCATTATGGCATAAAACAACCATTAAAATATTTTTTTATTGGGCTGGATGGATGAAATTGTTAATTGTTTATATTGGGGATTTATCTGACAGAGACAAATTCATGTCTTTTGAACAATTATAATAAACTCTTAAGTAAAGATTTCAGGAAATAGCATCAGCTGTGTAGCCTGATCCTGGCACGGTTTACACTATTTACCATTTATATTTAGTACTGAAATACCGTGCCCCATGGTGCATCTTGTTTCGTCATAGATGATGTTATTTGTTAAGACAGTGATGATGTCTGTGCACACATTGGTATCAGCGACATACCAAAGGGAAGTTGTCTAAATGCCCACCAGACTTCATGGTGCAGAACAGCATCTATCACTGGATGCAGAGTAGTAGAAAACTATCAAATTCTCCTCCTGTGAAAGACGTTGCTATAAACTGATAGACAAAATATCTACATGAATATCTGGGGGCCTTATTCTACGGCAGTGTGCTAATTCAAGGTTCTGTTTTACATAGTCAGAGGTATTATTTGTTACATACATCATGTAGTATACAGAGGATACTGTGTAACGTCTCTGTTATAACCGAGGGATGGGGATCGAGACCAGGTTCTGAAAGGACCCGGTTCCAAATTTCTTAAAACCCGAGAATCAATAAAAGGTCAGAGCTTATCGATACTGCTATCGATACAAGCGGACTACACTAATAAAAGTTTTTGAATTTAAATTAATCCCCTCACAACCTTGTTTGTTCTATTTTCCTCTGGTCAATCGGTTGCTTGCTAAGATGGCTGTATTACATTTCTTCCCAAGCAGAGCATGAGCAGTGTTTACTGAAGGTAGGTCAGTTACAGACTCAGTTAAACAATAAAAGCAATACCAGTTCTGTTTAGCATTTATTGTCATTTATTCTTGATGTTCTGATTTGGATTTTATTGTTGATTTAGCAGAACTTTATATCAAAGAACCCAATAAATCCAAGTCTTGTGCAGATATTTCAGTCCAATAAACTAATCTCTTGTGGAAAAAGTAAAGCTAAGGCACAAGAAAGGTTCAACACACATAAGGTAAGCAACACCTTTAGACACTCCTTACTCTTCCCAGTGTATAGTGCCACCTTTGCTCCATAATAAAGCAGGTAAAAACCCAACCTTCCACTTACTCCAGAGGAAGGAAACACAATCCAACCAACCGAGCTGCAGTCGGAGGCGGAGCAACACTGAACAGAGGAGAACTTTAGCGTCACACTCCAGAAATGAAACTCAATGTTTATCAGAGTTGAAGCCACGCAGCAGTCGAGACGAGTCTCTGTTTGTCTCTGAGAGAAAATTCAAACTGAGTTCATCAGGTCTTTCTCAACAACACAGCAGAGTCTCTGTCAAACACTGGTGAGTACAGCTGATCATATTTACAGTTTAACAACCAGGATTAACACAAAACTTCAGCTCTACTCAGACAGGCACTCTTCATTTCATACTTCTGACACTAACTATGGCTGTTTGACCACGGACCCACTTTAACTGCTTTAAACTGTTGATCTGTCAGTTATCAGCAGGAGAATAACATCTAACTGAATCTCTGTGGTTTGGAGTTTCTCCTGATTTCCTGGTATTTCTTTGACTGATCGCTTCCTAAAGCCATTTTACATTCTGTTTCCTCTGGTTATTTCACATTAAAAGCTTTCCAACAGCAAACCAGCAGGAGGTTTTCAATGTGAAAGAGCTAAAGGAAATACAATGCGTTAATGATAAGTAAACTGAGTTTTGTCAGCAGTCCTATTCTTCAATACAAACTGGTCTAACACAACAGGATATGGATATATTCTGGTCGGTTGGTTGGTTAATATGCTTTCACCTGACCACAATCTCATTGGTCTGACAATCGCTGGTGTTACTTTGATAAGAAGCCCCCACAGGCTTGTACGATAGGCAGTAGGCATGATGGGTGCATCACTTCATCCGCCTCTCTTTTTACCCTCATGCGCCCATACCTCTGGAACAGGGTAAATCTGGATTCATCAGACCACATGACCTTCTTTCATTGCTCCAGAGTCCAATCTTTATGCTCTCTAGCAAATTCAAGCCTTTTTCCGGTTTAGCCTCACTGATGAGTGGTTTTCCTATGGCTAGACAGCTGTTTAGTCCCAATCCCTTGAGTTCCCTTCGCATTGTGTGTGTGGAAATACTCTTACTTTCACTATCAAACATAGTCATGAGTTCTACTGTTGATTTCTTATGATATGATTTCACCAAAAGTTCAAGTGATCTCCGATCACGATAATTCAAGAGTTTTTTCCGACCACATTTCTTCCTCAAAGATGATGGTTCACCACTATCCTTCCAGGTTTTAATAAGTTCTTAACCATATTTTGATAGTTTCAACAATCTCCATAGTTGTTTTCTTTGCTTGATGCAGGCCAATAATTTGACCCTTCTGAAACTGATTAACATCCTTTCCACAACCACAGGATATGTCTTCCGACATAGTTGTTTAAGAAATGAGAAGTTACTCATATCAGCTATGGTTAAATAACTTGTTGCCAGCTGAAAAATATTAATCACTGCAGTAATTATCTAATCGAAAGCTCTTACCGATTTGTTTAGTTAAATCCAGGTGGTGACTTTTTTTTTGGACGGGCATTGTACAATGTCTTTATCATTAAGTAAACAGAGCTTTGTTAGCATTGATATTATGTAATAGAAATCAGTCTACACAACAGGATACACATTCAGTGCTGTTTTGCCAGGGTAGTGAGCTTTATTTTGCCAGCACGGCTTAAATGGTCAGTTACTCAAAGCTCACCTTGGTCAACTCAAACAAACACATAATTAAAATTTACTTCACCGGATAATATATATTGTACTTACAATATAGGCACGAACAATAGATACACTTCTTTCTTAATAATCAAAAATTTAAAACTGAATTTTGAATAAAATGTTTTTCTTTCAAACTTTGTGTAGATATGGCTGCTGCAAACTATCTGCCATCTGAAGATCAGTTCCTGTGCTCCATCTGTCTGGATGTGTTCACTGATCCAGTCAGCACATCATGTGGACACAACTTCTGTAAAACCTGCATCAATGAACACTGGAAAACTACTGACCAGTACATGTGTCCAATGTGTAAGAAGGTTTTCAACAAAAGACCTGAGCTGCACATCAACACTTTTATCTCTGAGATGGTCGCTCAGTTCAGACAGTCAGCTCAACAGAAATCCAGCCACAGCAGCTCAGAGCAACAAGTGTCCAAACCAGGAGAAGTTCCCTGTGACATCTGCATTGGAACCAAACTGAAGGCCCTGAAGTCCTGCCTGGTGTGTCTGGTCTCCTACTGTGAGACTCACCTGGAGCCTCATCTGACTGTGTCAGGTCTAAAAAGACATCAGCTGATCGACCCTGTGGAGAACCTGGAAGACAGGATGTGTACGAAGCACGATAAACCTCTGGAGCTGTTCTGTAAGACTGATCAGACATGTGTCTGTGTGCTCTGCTCTGTTTTAGACCACAAGACACATGAGTTTGTTTCTCTGAGAGAAGAATATGAAGTAAAGAAAGAAGAGCTGGGGAAGACAGAGGCTGAAATTCAGCAGATGATCCAGGAGATCAAACAGTCAGTGGACCTCAGTAAGGAAAATGCAGACAGAATGACAGCAGAAGGTGTCCAGATCTTCACCGCTCTGAAGGAGTCTGTTGAGAGAGGTCAGACCAATCTCACCAACTCGATCAAAGAGAAACAGAAAGCAACAGAAAAACAGGCGGAAACTTTCATCAAACAGCTGGAACAGGAAATTTCTGAGCTAAAGAAGAGAAGGACGGAAGTGGACCAGTTCTCACACTCTGAAGACCACATGCATCTTCTCCAGAGTGTCCAGTCCCTAAAAATCCACCACCCACCACCAACCAAGAACTGGACAGATGTTAGTGCCTGTCCATTTTATGAGGGGACTTTGGTGGCAGCATTGACTCAGATGGAGGAGACACTCAGTACAGAGATGAGGAAGCTGCTTGAAGCTGAGATTAAAAGGGTCCAGCAGTATGCAGTGGATGTGACCCTTGATCCTCATACAGCAAATCCCTCTCTCATTCTATCTGCTGATGGGAAACGAGTATATCATAGTGATGTGACGAAAACTCTCCCAGACAATCCAGAGAGATTTTCTTCTCATGCTTGGGTCTCTGGAAAGCAGAGTTTTTCTTCAAGCAGATTTTACTGTGAGGTTCAAGTTAAAGGAAAGACTATATGGACTTTAGGAGTGATCAGGGAGTCGAGCAGGAGGAAAGGAGAAATCACTCAGAGTCCCAAGAAAGGTTACTGGAGTATATGGAAGAGGAATGGAAATAGGTACAAAGCTCTTGATGACCCTTCAGTCCATCTCTCTCTGCAGTCTCAGCCTCAGAAGGTGGGGGTGTTTGTGGATTATGAGGAGGGTCTGGTCTCCTTTTATGATGTAGATGCTGCAGCTCTTATCTACTCCTTTACTGGCTGCTCCTTCACTGAGAAACTCTACCCATTCTTTGGTCCTGGTCTTAATGAAGGTGGTAGAAACTCTGCCCCTCTGATCCTCTCTCCTGTCAGAGTAAAGTAATAACTTATCTTAGTTCATATATTGATTGATTTTGACTGAATGGGTCACATTTAGTGGCAATCCTGTTTAGTTATACATCTTATTTTCTACAAAAATCTGTTTACTGTAGTTATTCATTCACACTTCATTGAGAGATTTTATATTATATGCATCCCATTTCATATTAAGAGTATGTCCTATTACATATCTATAGAGTATATAGAATACAGTATGTGTCATTGTCATACGGGGCATAACAAGTGATCATACAGAAATAATCAATAGAATAGATGCAAAATGTTATAGTTTGATCAAAGGGGTTTTGTTTAATTACTGGTTACTTTGACCAATTTCTTTATGAATGCTGGTAAGATGGTGTATGATTCAAATGAATCTGTAAATGTGTGATTGTTTTATATAAACTGTAAAATAGACCTTGTGTTCAACAACTAGTTTGAGTACGTAGTGACTGGAGCACCAAACACTCAACAGGAAAGCTTAGTTTCTATATAAACTGTATTTAATTACAAAATGCGTTGTGTTCCTGATGGCCTCTTCACAAAAAAAGCCACCACGTGTTTCACCAGTTGGACTCTCTTTTACTGTGAATCAGTTACAGGAGGAAATGTTTGTTAGCACCGACAGTGATTGAATACAGTAACGTAGTAGGAGAGTGAACAGTTAGGGTGACAATGATCAATAAGAGATAATTATGATTGATTACATGCTGCAACGTTCACTATGAATCCCTCGTGTGTGTAAAGGCAATCGCCAATCGAGCACCAGAACTGCAGACTTATTATGGCGACCATAAACAGTATGTATGAAAAATGGGGTTTGAAATGTCTTTCTGGATTTGGACCAAATGGACAGTACATTAAACCTACCTCCTCTTAAATGAATGCTTCCGATGTTCAGCTGTTAATAATTAAAGCTTGTGTTGTGTAAGGACATTTCTGGTTTTGTGCACAGTACTGTGTGGATCTACCTGCAGCAGTACTGATACTGTGTAAACTGAGGAATGTGAAATGAACGCTTTGCCAAAATAAAAAATAAAATGTAATAAAAAAGAAGAACAGGGTTTGATTTCATGTAAATCATCAGGGTGATAACTGTTTGATTTCAGCCCGACCACATTCTCCCTGCAGTTTTACTCTATTACATAAAATGATTCTTACCTTTGTGATATGTAACACTAAATCAACATGATGTCCTATATTTGAACCCATTACATTGGGTCAACCTGTACTTACTGATCTCCGTGGCAGGCTTTGGGGGACAAATATGATGAGAGTCACCTGACTGACAGGAGGGGAGCAAAATGCCCAAAAACTCCTCTTCTCAGATTCTCATATGAAACTCAGACATAAATGTAGCCTTCGTTTTCTGACACTATAACATCTTCCTTCCCAAAATGTAAAATTACAGATGAACTCAAGCTTAACTTGTAAATAAACACAGACAATAAGTCCTAAAAGTGCTCTGAAAAAGAGAAAGTTTGAACATCTACAGTGTAGTAAAGTCCCCTTAACGAGTCATCCAATGATATTTGGTTTGTAAACTCAGGAAAACCTCAACAATTAACATTTCCGGAGAAACTCATGTCTGACCACTTCTAGCTGACTCCCTGCTACACTGCAGTAACAACAGGCTTCCATGTAGACCACTAACTGTTGTTATGACACAGAACAACCACTAGATGGATCACAACACAAAGGAATGATGAGCCCAGAGTTACTGTACTGCTGCCACTCCAAGCACCAAACCATGTGAGTGAACACACTGCGTGTCACATACGGGTTAATCAGCCATGATGGCCGACGATACAACTAACAACCTCATCTTTCTAATTATCTAAAACATTGTTCTCTTACATTGAATTATTTTACTTCTATAACTATATAAAAATATCAATTGCTACAACTAATGGGCAGAAAAAGTGAAGAATCCTCCTACAACCACAGTTATAATCTGACCAACAGTATTTCTTATGAGAGAAAACTGAAGTATTTCCCAATGAGTCAGAGGAAGGAAACACAATCCAACCAACCGAGCTTCAGTCGGAGGCGGAGCAACACTGAACAGAGGAGAACTTCAACGTCACACTCCAGAAATGAAACTGAATGTTTATCAGAGTTGAAGCCACGCAGCAGTCGAGACGAGTCTCTGTTTGTCTCTGAGAGAATATTCAAACTGAGTTCATCAGGTCTTTCTCAACAACACAGCAGAGTCTCTGTCAAACACTGGTGAGTACAGCTGATCAGATCTACAGTTTAACAACCAGGATTAACACAAACAAGCTCTACTCAGACAGGCACTCTTCATTTCATACTTCTGACATTGGTTAATATATAACTATGGCTGTTTGACCACAGACCCACTTTAACTGCTTTAAACTGTTGATCTGTCAGTTATCAGCAGGAGAATAACATCTAACTGAATCTCTGTGGTTTGGAGTTTCTCCTGATTTCCTGGTATTTCTTTGACTGATCGCTTCCTACAGCCATTTTACATTCTGTTTCCTCTGGTTGTTTCACATTAAAAGCTTTCCACCAGCAAGACAGTGAGAGGCTTTTAATATGAAGCAGCTAAAGGAAATACAATGCGTTAATCATAAAGTAAACTGAGTTTTGTTAGCAGAGCTATTCTTCAATACAAATTTGTCTAAACAACATGACTGGACATGTTCTGTGTCTTTTAAAGGCTTAGTGAGCTTGATCTTAACAGCACAGCTTATATGGTCGCAGTTGCTCATTAATTTGTCTGATAATCATGTTATACTAAAAAGAACAATGATCACATTTCCTTTTAAAACAACAGATTAAACTTGCATTTTAAATTAGATGTTTTTTCTGTTCTCTGTGTAGATATGGCTGCTGCAAACTATCTGCTATCAGAAGATCAGTTCCTGTGCTCCATCTGTCTGGATGTGTTGACTGATCCAGTCAGCACATCATGTGGACACAACTTCTGTAAAACCTGCATCAATGAACACTGGAATATTAATGACCAGTACATGTGTCCGATGTGTAAGAAGGTTTTCAACACAAGACCTGAGCTGCATATCAACACTTTTATCTCTGAGATGGTTGCTCAGTTCAGACAGTCAGCTCAACAGAAAGCCAGCCACAGCAGCAGCTCAGAGCAACAAGTGTCCAAACCAGGAGAAGTTCCCTGTGACGTCTGCACTGGAACCAAACTGAAGGCCCTGAAGTCCTGCCTGGTGTGTCTGGTCTCCTACTGTGAGACTCACCTGGAGCCTCATCTGACAATGTCAGGTCTAAAAAGACATCAGCTGATCGACCCTGTGGAGAACTTGGAAGGCAGGATGTGTATGAAGCACAATAAACCTCTGGAAGTGTTCTGTAAGACCGACCAGACATGTGTCTGTGTGCTCTGCTCTGTTTCAGACCACAAGACACATGAGTTTGTTCCTCTGAGAGAAGAATGTGAACAAAAGAAGGCAGAGCTGGGAAAGACAGAGGCTGAAATTCAGCAGATGATCCAGAAGAGACAACTGAAGATTCATGAGGTCAAACAATCAGTTGACCTCAGTAAAGAAAATGCAGAAAGAATGATAGCAGAAGGTGTTCAGATCTTCACGTCTCTGAAGGAGTCTGTTGAAAGAGGTCAGGCTAATCTCATCAACTCGATCAAAGAGAAACAGAAAGCAACAGAAAAACAGGCTGAAGCTTTCATCAAAGAGCTGGAACAGGAAATCTCTGAGCTGAAGAAGAGAAGGACTGAAGTGGACCAGCTCTCACACTCTGAAGACCACATGCATCTTCTTAAGAGTGTCCAGTCCCTAAACATCCACCACCTACCACCCACCAAGGACTGGACAGATGTTAGTGTCTGTCCATTTTATGAGGGGACTTTAGTAGCAGCATTGGCTCAGTTGAAGGAGACACTCAGTACAGAGATGAGGAAGCTGCTTGAAGCCAAGCTGAAGAGGGTCCAGCAGTATGCAGTGGATGTGACTCTTGATCCTGATACAGCACATCCCTGTCTCATCCTGTCTGATGATGGGAAACAAGTGCGTGATAGTGATGTGCAGAAGAATCTCCCAAACAATCCAGAGAGATTTTCTTATCATGCTTGGGTCTTAGGAAAACAGAGTTTCTCTTCAGGCAGATTTTACTGCGAGGTTCAAGTTAAAGGAAAGACTGCATGGACTTTAGGAGTGACCAGAGAGTCGAGCAAGAGGAAAGGACCAATCACTCAGAGTCCCATGAAAGGTAACTGGAGTATGTGGTTGAGAAATGGAAAGGAATACAAAGCTTTTGATGACCCTCCAGTCCGTCTCTCCCTGAAGTCTCAGCCTCAGAAGGTGGGGGTGTTTGTGGATTATGAGGAGGGTCTGGTCTCCTTTTATGATGTAGATGCTGCAGCTCTTATCTACTCCTTTACCGGCTGCTCCTTCACTGAGAAACTCTACCCATACTTCGGTCCTGGTCTTAATGAAGGTGGTAGAAACTCTACACCTCTGATCCTCTCTCCTGTCAGAGTAAAGTAATAACTTATCTTAGTTCATATATTGATTGATTTTGACTGAATGTAACAAATGTACATATTTAGTGGCAATCCTGTATAATTATACATCTTATTTTCTACAAAATATGTTTACTGTAGTTATTCATTCACACTTCATTGAGAGATTTTATATTATATGCATTCTATTTCATATTAAGAGTATGTCCTATTACATATCTATATAGTATATAGAATACAATATCTGTCATTGTTAAACGGGGCATAAAAAGTTAACAGAGAGATAATCAATAGAATAGATGCTAAATTTTATCGTTTGACTAAAGGGGTTTTGTTTAATTACTGGTTACTTTGACCAATTTCTTTAAGATTACTGATAAAATGGCGTATCAATCAAATTAATCTGTAAATGTGTGATTGTTTTAGATAAAATGTAAAATAAACTAGTTGTTGAACACAAGGTCTGAGTACGTAGTGACTGGAGCACCAAACACTCAACAGGAAAGCTTAGTTTCTATATTAACTGTATTTAATTACAAACTGCACTGTGTTTCCTGTGGCCTCTTCACAATAAAAGCCACCATGTGTTTCACCAGTTGGACTCTCTTTTACTGTGAATCAGTTACAGGAGGAAATGTTTGTTTGCACCGGCAATGATTGAATACAGTAACGTAGTAGGAGAGTGAACAGTGAGGGTGATAATGATCGATGAGAGAGAATTATGATTGATTACATGCTGCATTGTTCACTATAAATGCTTCTTGTGTGTGTGTGAAGGCAATCGCCAATCGAGCACCAGAACTGAAAGACTCTGATGGAGTCTGTTGAAAGAGGTCAGACCAATCTCATCAACTCAATCAAAGAGAAGCAGAAAGCAACAGAAAAAAAGTCTGAAGCTTTCATCAAAGAGCTGGAACAGGAAATCTCTGAGCTGAAGAAGAGAAGAACTGAGGTAGACCAGCTCTCACACTCTGAAGACCACATTCACCTCCTCCACAGCTTCCCGTCTCTGAAGGATGTCCCACCCACCAAGGACTGGACAGAGGTCAGTGTCCCTCAATCATATGAGGGGACTGTGGTGAGAGCTGTGGCTCAGCTGGAGGAGATACTCAGTAAAGAGATGAAGAAACAGTTTGATGCCGAGCTGAAGAGGGTCCAGCAGTATGCAATAGATGTGACTCTTGATCCTGATACAGCACATCCTGAACTCATCCTGTCTGCTGATGGGAAACAAGTGAACGATTGTGACATGGAGAAGAATCTCTCAGACAATCCAGAGAGATTTTCTAATTGTATTTCTGTTTTAGCAAAGCAGAGTTTCTCTTTAGGGAGATTTTACTACGAGGTTCAAGTTGAAGAAAAGACTGAATGGACTTTAGGAGTGGTCAAAGAGTCTATCGACAGGAAGGGAGATTTCACACTGAGTCCTGAGGATGGTTGCTGGACTATATGGTTGAGAAATGGAAATGAGTACAAAGCTCTTGATGACCCTGATATCAGTCTCTCTCTGCAGTCTCAACCTCAGAAGGTGGGGGTGTTTGTGGATTATGAGGAGGGTCTGGTCTCCTTTTATGATGTAGATGCTGCAGCTCTTATCTACTCCTTTACTGGCTGCTCCTTCACTGAGAAACTCTACCCATACTTCTGTCCCTGTTTAAATGATGATGGTAAAAACTCTGCCCCTCTGATCATCTGTCCTGTCAGTTACACTGAGTAAACTAAATAACTTTATCTTACTTAATGTATTGGTTTATTTTCATTCAAGGTAACACATGTAGTGGGAATACTGTGTAGTTGCATCTAATGTAAGAGTAACGCTTATTACATAGCGCGTCATTAAATGAAAAGTCAATGGGTAAAGTTAACTAATGGAATAAATGTGGAATTTTCTGTGTTGTGTAAAAAGTATTTGGGTTAATTACAGGACACTTCGGGCTGATGGATCAGTAAAAGAAAACTGTGAATAACTGATTGTAAAATAAAAAAAATAAAACTAGTTGTTGAACACAAGGCCTGAATAAGCACCAAACATTGAACAGCAGAGCCTGGTTCACACCTTAGTTGTATTTCATTCAGAAAACATCAAAGCAAACATTACAAAAAATGTAAGCATATATAAGTTGAGAAGGATATGCTTAATCTGTATTTTAAATCTAGTTAGTTCTGTTTGAAGTTGTGAAACCTTATAATAATTGTGCAGTTTCTTCATGTTTGTGATTAGGCTGATTATGACAATAATTCTTGTTTTATTGCTCAAAGCAGTGGATAAAAATCATTGTGCTTCTGTACAAAAACCCTTTCAATCAAAATTTAAATAGTTAATTAATGGTGCTGAATAGCTTTAAAATACCTATCCAATGCTTAATAAATTAATACCATAAAAAACCTTCATGCTGAGTTCATAGTCATTCCCTTGTTGCACTACAGTAACAACAGCAATGAGCCTCTATGAACACCACTTACTGGTGTAGTGGCACAATGTGACCACTGGATGGAGCACAACACAAAGTAACAAGCAGCATGAAGTGACTGAAACCAAACACTGATAAATGTGGACAAAAGGTTTGTGATAACAGGGAAACTTATCACGTTGAACAAGGACAAATGTCAAAATGTTTCTATTGAAGGCAACAACTGAGCTGATGTTTTGCCTGATGGGAAATCTGATTTATTTTTGGATCAACCCTAAAATGTGGGAAAGCATTTTTTGGATTTTCTTCTTTCAATGTGCCTTTTTACAACTTTGCAGTAAGTTTTTTGTGCTGCTAGTAGTATAAAATATAATAGTATATAATATCAGGCATGAAAACGGGTCAGGGGTGAAAAAGGTGAAAAGGATATTACCCCTCTAGGGGGGTCTGGGTGCATGCTCCCCGGAAGAAAATATTGAATATTCCATATTTTAAAGCATCAATCTGATGCATTTTGAGATGCATTTTTTGCCAACCTGGGGAGAGCTGGAGAAACTTAACTTCAGTCATGAGTCAAAAATATTATGGCCTCCATACTAAGTATTATGCAAGCCATTTCATGCCAGCCTGTCACTGGGTCTAACATTTACAGTATATGAGGCACAATGTGGTAAGGGCACCACAAATGGCTTAATGCATAACCCCCACAAGAGATGGTGGACATGCTGTAACTTAACTTGTCAACTCTTCCATCATGATTGACAGCCAATACAATGTTATGTAATTCAGATTTTAATACATTTACCCCCCCCCAAACATTTTCTAATCGAATCTACACGATTCACGTAGGTCATCTATTTTGGTTTCAAAACGGCAAATTTCGCAGAAAGGTGAGTGATTTTCATGTATGGATAGAGTATTCTCTTCCACTTCCCAAAAGGTGCCCCCCCCCACAAAATGTAACTCAAATGTAAGTGTTATGCACAGTACCGCCTTCACCTCCAGTTGAGCCAGAAAAAACCTTTGTATGTCACTGTAGTCATGTCTAAACACGAAGAAGACCAAACCTCACCAACAAAGCTACAATAAAGGGCAGGGCAAAACTGGATCAACGTCACATTCATTAAATGAAACTGAAGTTTGAAGAGTTTCTCTCAAAAGAAAAAATTCATTCTTTCTCAACAACACTGCAGAGTCTCTGCTAAACACCAGTGAGTACAGCTGATATGTTTACTGTGTTCAGTTCTCATTACCTCTGTGTGAGGAAGATTAACTATATTGTTGCTTCAGCTGGTATGTTTTCTATTTTCCAAAAGAATTAAAACTTTAAAAAAGATAAATTATTTTTGGATATAATAGACGTATTAGACACTGTTTCCACTGTGGAAATGAACTTATATTAATGGCAGGTGACTCATTTTAGCAGAGAGACAGAGAGAGAGACGTAAACTGGTGGACATGGTGGACATTTTTCAAGCACAAACCGGATAAAGCAACAGTTTGGTTTTTGATAGGCGACGTCCTTACGGCTCACCTGTCGTTGTAAAAACTAAATCTGGGGAAAAATCCGAAACGTGAGTTTAGTTTCTTTATTTCTAAAACTAACTGCTGACCAACAAAGTGAGCAGACACACATAGAGACTGTATGATACATGGAGAGAGCAGCAGAGAGGCGGGGGCAGACGTGTGTGAGACAGCGGTGTAGGTGTGTGCATGTGTAACGGGGAAGAGGAGGGGAAAGATTAATGTATTTTGTGAGTTAACACCAAAATAAGGTGAATTTAGTAGAATTAAAATGGTGAAATGAGGAATTACCTATAAAAATACCCCCCCCCCTGCCAGTCTGTATGAAACTGTATGTTTGTTAAGGTCTGAGAGCTCCTAATATCCAGCCTAAGTGGTTTAAGTTATGCCACTAAGAGTATATAAACTGTTTTCGATCCATAATTTAATAATTCATTAATTGTAATACTTAATATACAACGGAGTTAGGAACAGTTAAATAATAAGGTTACACTATTAACTTCCAATAGGCTGAGCCACCGTTATTCAAAACATTCAACATTTAGGTGGAACAAGTTTGTATTCTGAGCTAGGCTAATAGGCTTAGCTTGCTAACCAGGGCACTGATTCCCACTAGCATTAGAGTTCGTTCATGTTATCTCAACACCTGCGTTAGCCAGCATAAACTCTCACTGCTGAATTATAATACGGAGAACGTAACATCCAGAGTTGTGATTGGTATCAGTGCTGATTCTTACCTTATTACTGCAGATGTGATCCTCTCTGCTCATTTACAGCAGTAAGCATTACACATAAAGTTACCACTGATGCTTCCTGCATGTGCATTAAATCATCAAGCAATTAAAATACTTTTGTCCTCTCTGTGTAGATATGGCTGCTGTCAGCTGTCTGCTGTCTGAAGATCAGTTCCTGTGCTCCATCTGTCTGGATGTGTTCACTGATCCAGTCAGCACACCATGTGGACACAACTTCTGTAAAACCTGCATCACTGAACACTGGAATATTAGTTGCAGGTGGCAGTGTCCCATATGTAATGAGATTTTTAACCTGAGCTGCACATCAACACTTTGTTCTCTGAGATGGTTGCTCAGTTCAATTCAGCTCAACAAGAAGCCATCAGCACAGAGCAACAAGTGTCCAAACCAGGAGAAGTTCCCTGTGACGTCTGCACTGGAACCAAACTGAAGGCCCTGAAGTCCTGCCTGCTGTGTCTGGTGTCCTACTGTGAGACTCACCTGGAACCTCACCTGACTGTGTCAGTCCTGAAAAGACATCAGCTGATTGACCCTGTGAAGAACCTGGAAGGCAGGATGTGTACGAAGCACGATAAACCTCTCGAGCTGTTCTGTAAGACCGACCAGACATGTGTCTGTGTGCTCTGCTCTGTTTTAGACCACAAGACACATGAGTTTGTTCCTCTGAGAGAAGAATGTGAAGAGAAGAAGGTGGAGCTGGAGGCTGAAATTCAGCAGATGATCCAGAAGAGACGACAGAGGATACAGGAGATCAAACACTCAGTTGACCTCAGTGAGGAAGATGCAGACAGAGAGATAGTAGAAGGTGTTCAGGTTTTCACTTCACTGATGGAGTCTGTTGAAAAAGGGCTGAATGAGCTCATTGACTCGATCAAAGAGAAACAGAAAGCAACAGAAAAACAGGCCAAAACTTTCATCAAAGAGTTGGAACAGGAAATCTCAGAGCTGAAGAAGAGAAGGACTGAGGTCGACCAACTCTCACAATCTGAAGACCACCTCCATCTTCTCCAGAGTATCCAGTCCCTAAACATCCACCACCCACCATCCACCAAGGACTGGACAGAGGTCAGAGTCCCTCCATTATCTTATGAGGGGACTGTGAGGAGAGCTGTGGCTCAGCTGGAGGAGACACTCAGTGAAGAGATTACTGAGCTGGTTAAAGCCGAGCTGAAGAGGGTCCAGCAGTATGAAGTTAATGTGACTCTCGATCCTGATACAGCAAATCCCTGGCTCATCTTATCTGATGATGGGAAACGAGTGAGGTCTGGTGACGTGGAGGAGGATCTCCCAGACAACCCAGAGAGATTTTCTGATTGTACCTGTGTTTTAGGAAAGCAGAGTTTCTCTTCAGGAAAAATGTACTATGAGGTTGAAGTCAAAGGAAAGACTGAGTGGGATTTAGGGGTTGTCAGAGAGTCCATCGACAGGAAAGAAGACACCCCACTGAGCCCGGTGGAGGGTTACTGGACTATATGGTTGAGAAATGGAAATGAGTATGAAGCTCTGGATAACCCTGATGTCAGTCTCTCTCTGAAGTCTCAGCCTCAGAAGGTGGGGGTGTTTGTGGATTATGAGGAGGGTCTGGTCTCCTTTTATGACGTAGACGCTGCAGCTCTTATCTACTCCTTTACTGGCTGCTCCTTCACTGAGAAACTCTACCCATACTTCTGTCCTGGTCTTCGTTATGGTGGTAAAAACTCTGCCCCTCTGATCATCTCTCCTGTCGGACTAAACTAATAACTCATCTTAGTTCATGTGTTGATTTATTTTAATTGTTAAGTGTACATATTTAGCAGCAATGCTTTATAGTTTACATCTTATTTCCTAAAGAATCTGTTTACTGTGGTGATTCATTGACACTTTACACATTTTCTTTTTCTTTTATTACATAAAGAACACATTCATTAGATGCATTCATCTTTTCAACCCCGTATCATGACTCAGTTATGTGGAGAGTATCTATTAAAACCTTACGTTACGTTATATATGTCAAGCTGAATTGTTTTTGTCATTGAGTCTTAAAGCTTCATTTAAGAGTAAGGCCAGCTGAATGTCTATAAGGTCTACAGACTACAGTGTTTGTCATTGTTAGACCTAATTTGTCTGAAAAGTGGTCCGGTTGGTTTGTTAATACTGTAAGATGATTGATCAAAAGAAATCAGTATATATGTGATTGAGCAGCAAACACTGAACAGTAAGGTCTACTTTTAAAGCTGTAATCCTTCAGGTTTCATGTCCTGGTTGATTTGGTGACACCTGTGGTTTCTGGTGGTAACAGCAAGTGAGCTTTAACACAACAGCAAAGACTCTCTGAGCAGCTACTCAGAACTACAACAGAAGAGCAGCTGCAGCAAAAATAGACCGGGGAGCACAGAAATAGCCGAGCAGAGGAAAAGAGGCTCTGCTTATGCATCCAGTGGACATCGACACACTGCTGAAAACAATCTGCTGCCATCCTAGTCTTAAAGGAAACAAATGTTCAGCCACCTCTGATGGATACTGGGGGGCTCCTGATTAAAGACATTCCTTCAGAAAGATGTGTCAGTGTTAATGTCTCATTCTTTCATAAGCTGCAAATGGAGGAAATTGTTCAAGAAACATTAAAAAGGTGTTTGTTACTCGTACCAATGAATGTTTGCACTCACTAGTTAAACCACACAGCGTGTATCCTTGAAGTCGAGCAAACGTGTTGAATTTATTTTAGAAAGTGCGTCGTTTACATCCATATTCAGTCTTCATTCCCTTTGCTGGAGCAGTGCTATGTTTCTTATTGCATTACTGCCATTAACTGTAACCCCCAGATTCGATCGGGCAGGGCCGCGATGCATTCAGGCTCTGCTGCGGTCTCTGGTGCTCATCGCCCCCGTTCTAAACGATGCTTGAAATTCCACCAGAAGAGCCGCAGCACGTCCCAGAAGCTGTGACCCACTTGCCAGGCCAGAAGTCAATCAGGCAGATCAGAGGAGGTTTATAGATGAGAAACACCGTTTTGTATCCTTTTTAAGGACAAAACACACAAGTAAACAACGTCGGGCAGAGAACGCCATGAAGCCGTGCTCGCTGGAATTTCGGCGTCAGTCAGCAGAACGGTGTGAAACTAAGAGCGGAATGGAAATCGCACCGCCGACATCATCCTGTGCATGCAAGATAAGAGACCCAATCAGAAAGATTGGGCTCAATAGTGCTTCTGGAGGGAGAAACAGCCACAGGGTTCCTTTAAATGGACATTAACGGTTCTTCTGTGATGGCTGAGAGGGCGACTCCACAGGAAGCAGCTGCAAACTGCTGGGCCTTAAAGAAAAGGAGGGTGGGGGAGTCGGGGCGCGGCATCATCGGGGACTCCAATAAATATTCTATCAGTTGACAGGGGAAATACAGCACAGTCAGCCAGACCGAACCCCCCCGCTGCTCCAGTCTCCCCGTTTCAGGTCGTTAACCCAGACACCTCTCCAAATACTCCGGTGGGGTTTTGGTGAGGGCCGAGACACCCGAGAGCCGCTGGTGTGACTTCCAAAGTCAACTGCAGTAAGCAGAGACACCCGGTGAACCGCGGCCCCGGGCACACAGCGGGACCAGGTCTTGTTCACAGATTAGAAAACCAAAGATAAAAGCTGTTCCTGGGAGTCAACAAACAGCGTCACAAGCTTGTTTTTGAGTTTGAAGGGATGGAAAGACCTCACCCCCACCTCACCCTTCTTAACAGCTCGTTAGCCCCCCCCCCCAAACCTCCCACCTACTCAGAAAACGTATCCCAAACCAACAACGCCAGATGTAACTTTGAATCCCAAGTTCAGCTTACACTACGGTCTTCCTGGGGGGGGGGGCCCTACTCAGAAAGTAGGTCCAGACATTACAGTCATTATTTTCTAATTAAGCGGCGAGGTTTCCTTTCTGGAGTGGGGGGGGGTCAGAGCAAGGCAACAGACTAATTAAAACTGGTATATTGCAGTGACTAAAAATAAACGAGGTTTTCCCAGCAGCCCTGACACTGACCTTTACAGAGCGATGAGGCATTTTTAGCCTCACAGTGTGGGGAGTCTGGGTCAGACTGCCGGCGGGGGCCTACAGAAGATGGTGCAGCATGTGGTGATGTTCACATCTATCACCGGCCGCCGTTATATATCCCTGACCTCTCCTCTGACCATCACTATACAACAGATCTTTATATCAGACACAGTAAACTAGCAGGAAGTGTTTGATTAGACTCTAATGAATCTTCTTTAGATCAGATGAATCCAGATTTAAAACCTCATGTTGTTTTATTCTACACTGTATTGTTTATGCCAGCAGTTTCTGTGAAGCTGTTTCAACGTATTAAACACTGATGCTTTTGCTCTTTTTGTTAAATTTATAAAAAATCTGTAGCAAAACTTAGCATTAGTTCAGATACATCCACGTACACATCCTTCATTTCTGAAAAGAAAGAAAAGTTTTTTTATTATATATCTATATATATATATATATATATATATATATATATATATATATATATATATATATATATATAGATATATATATATATGACTCACGGTTTTGGTTTTTTAATCATTTTAAATGACTTTATTCCTTATATCGCTGTTAATGGTTCCTTTATTGTTGCCAAACTGTCACCATCCACACAGACTGATGCACCAGCTGCAGATATTTAGCCCTACACCTTTAGCAACATGTGCTGAGGTTAGCACAACTAGCCGATATCAGTCACAATACAGCGAGTCCTGCACAGGTCCAGAGTTTACACATGTAGAAACATGAATTAAAATGATCATTTCCCGTTGAATCAGTCACCAACTGTTACTCACTACACTACTGCTGCTGCTGCTGCCAGCTGGGCACTGATCTCCACACAGTTTCAAACAATCTGATTCCCCTGCACATAAACTCAAAGCTCCTCGTCCTCCTGTTTCTGTGGTTTTTGTTTTTGGAAGTTTGGAAAGTTTTTGGCCCGGCAGCTGAATGGTTCCTCAAAGAGGATGCACGAGCTTTCACAATAAAAACTAAATTCTGCCGGTCGATTAGCCTTGATAGTATTTAAAAGATTTAGATGTTAAAAATAGCCTGCAGTGTCATTAACGGTCACTCTGCACTACGGCGAGCGCAAATGAAATGCTGGATTGTTTAGGAACAATTCGGGTTCCCGGTCGACTACAACAACAACGGAGAGAGAGAGAGAGAGTGACAGAGGTGGATAAGAGGAGGACATCAAACACACATTCAGCAGTAATACACAGATAAAAGAAACAAATCCTTTTGTTTCTCTGAGCCAAAATCTCACTAAAACCACGGCCGGGGTATGAACCGAACCATTACACCATTAGTTCCTAATGTTCCAGCACATCCAAAGCCGTTGTGTTTAACACTATAAAAAGCTTCACTGTGGCTCAGCTCAGAAAACACTTCCAGCTAAAGACGAGAGTTTACCCTCCAAAAGGTTCATCGCAACTGAAACTTCATCCTGTTTTTAACTGATCACCAACAAATATATATTCACAATTATAACATAGGCGTGTAGATAAGCAGTGAATGTATAATGGTACTTACAGTGCGAGCACATGTCCAGGGCATAGCTGGCTTCGTTTCCCTGAGAAAGAGAGGAGAGAGACAATGAAACAAGAGCTCCACATTTATGTATCTGATTGGAACCAGAGAGGAGAGCAGCAATGTGGCTTTCTGTGTGAATGGAGGAGCTGAGTGTTGCCATCAGTCAGCACGTCACATTAAACATGGTGAAACATTACAACAGTCACTGTGTATGTGGAGAAACCAACTCAAATGTATGGGAATATGACTTTAACTCGTGTTCATTATGCATGAGCGACAGAACGATCTGGACTCTGAAAACGAGGCCAACGCGCCGCCTCGATGTGCCTCGGCTCATCTCTGGAGGACTGCAGCTCTCGTCCTGAACCAGTACCGAGAGCCGCGACTGACTCTAAATCACATGAACAGGTTAATATGTGAGGTTTACTCTAATACCCATAATCCCGTCTGTGGGGTCTGACGAGGTTGCTGCTTACCGCCGCTGACTTCATGAACACCGGACTCATCAGTGGGGGGTTTGGGAGTCTAAAGCTCACTTTTAAAAAGGTTATTAAACCATTTTAAGCAGTGAAATATATTTCTGATCTCTACCGTCACTGGCTGACCTGTTTCTCTGTGAAATGGGATTTTATTGTTTTTGTCACTGACAGGCTGCCGTAGTTGATGCAGGTTAATGGTACACGAGTCACAACCAACACAGTGCTCATTAAGGCCTTTTTTTAACTGTTTATAAAATGGAAACAGAAATAATTTCCTAATGACCAAAGTAACACCAATAGCTCTTCCAGATATCTGATCTTTGCCTTTCAGTCGAGACCCAGTATTAATTCCATAAAAGTGTGTTAAAAGAAATACATATATAATTATTAAACACACTATTATATGTATACTGTATGATTGCTATTATTGTTGAATGTTGCAGCTGGTAAAGTTGGAGCTAATGTTTACTTTATACTGCTGCGTAACTTAATCTATAATAATACATCATTTATTAGATTGATTTTGTATTAACTGCAAATGAACTAAAGATATTAAATAAATGCAGTGGAGTGGAAGAATAAAGCAGCAAAAAAATACAAATTAAGTATCTTAAAACTGAAAATATATACTACAGAACTCTTTATTTTATGCCTTTATTTTGATAGGACAGGTGAAGATAGACAGGAAAGGGGAGAGAGAGGTTGGACTCGAACCCACGGCTACTGTACGCCCCGCTGCAGTGGCCCTCCTGTGTGCGGGTCGGATCGAGGCCGACTGAAGAGCTGATTGGATTCATGTGATTGTTCTGGGAAACGCTCAAACACTCGTCCTCAGTGAACTCTGTTCCAGCCCGCTGCACCACTCGGCTTTTTTCCTCTTCATCTATTAACTAATATTAATCACTCATCAAAGAGGCGGCCCGTTGGACTGCTGGGTGCTGTAGTTCATTAAGCTGGAACTACATTGAAGTCCACGTAGTCCACAGAGAGGAACCATATTAACGGCTGATCGACCCTACAGCGGTTGTTTCTGCAGAAAATGTCTGATTCCAGCAGCTTTCTAAAGAACCTGTGATCAGGGCTGAGTGAGACGGTAAAAACGTCATACTGTCATTAATGTGGGATCATTTTATACATCACACATTTCAGTTTTGCTTAAAAAAAACTGTTAAAATCTTTATAATGTGAGATTTTTGGGGCTCTGTATAAATCTGTGTGTCACAGGAAATGACAGATTCTGTGATTTGGATAATATTTCGACTAACAGTGCAGCTCTGTGATGTTTTTAAACATTTATTTGCAGTAAAATTGTGTCAAAACTGAAAATTGCAGAGATACAATGTGATTATTATTATTATTATTATTATTATTACAACTCGTTCCAGTGAGAATTGTTTGGAGGGTCAATGTGAGACATTTTAATATAGTATTTGTATTTATTATCTTTCGTTATTGTCTCCATTTCATCTTTATTTATATTTGTCTATGTTTATTGTTATGCACCAATATACTACACATATATTTATTTATATATTTCAGGCGCACCGCAGCAACCAATGAAAATGTTTACTTTATTTTGGTAGTTTTTCTATCAGCTGTTGTATTTTTAGACCCAACGTCGCTCAAACATTACTGTAAAGCAGCGAGAGGACGCTCTGAATGTCAGAAAATACTAAATAAACCGACTACAGCAGGTGACAGTTTGATTTAAACACCAACAGAGAATCAGCCATTGCTCACACAAGACTATACTACACTTCCTGTCAGTACTTTCAAAATAAAACAGTAAACTGCAGCCATAACCTGAATATAAACAACATTAACATTTAATGGGGGTTACTGTAGATGTTATGTAACAAATAAAAAAATAACAGTTCATTCTTTGTAGTGTTGCAGATTAAAATGGAGAAACAAAAATCAATTTTAAAACACTGAATTTAAATTAACTGATCATGTTTATTGATTAATCTGCAGCTGATTTCATCATTGATTTTTTTCCTTTTGGTCGTTTTTAAGCAACAACTGTTTGCAGCTTCTCAAATGTGAGAATTTGCTGTTTCTTCCTTTTACGTATATTTGTCCACACTCATTGTTCCAGGCGATATATGGCGACGATCGGCGCTTTATGGACGTAATATTGATCAGAAACTGTTGGACACAATGGATATAATCGTTTGTTACTGCCCTCGCTTTCATACATGTTGCCTTCATTTCAGAGCAGATTCATATTTAGAGACATTTATTGAACATAGATGTCAAACATTAACAGTTTTCAGGTTTCTCTACGTTATATAAATGTAAATTAAATCACATTTTATGTTCTAGGTCGGACAAAACGCGACATACAAACGCTGCTATTTCAGGCCTGGGGGCCAAAACAAAAACAATGAAACATTCATTAAAAGTCACAATAATATAAATCGCTGTTTATGCGGTTTTATTTTTAGGTAAAAAAGCTCTTTAAATATGAATCTGAGTTTGACAGGAGAAAGACGGGAGCGAGGATAATGACCGCTAACGAAGATAGAGGCACAACAAACAATTAATTAACAAATAAAAACAATCTGTGGGTTTATGATAGCTTTCTGTTAGTCGTTACAGACGTTTGGGTGGAATGAACCTTTAAAACTACTTTAAAACTGTAACTATAACTTGAATAAAGAAGTATTAAAGATATAACAGACAGCTAGGTGGCGCTGTTGCGACAAACTCAGGTCCTAGAAAAGGTGCAACCACAGGTACGCAACCAACATGTGAACCTTTTATTTTGAAGGCAACATTACGACACTTCCGCCGTCACTTTGTTGCGCACTTGACGCACCAGCTAGCTAGCCTGCTAGCACAGAGCCGCGGCAGTATTTCCTCATAAGCTAGCTCCGTGCTCTCATCCCAACCGAGCCACACATCGACGTTACTTCCCCCGTGGATGTGTGGCAACGTATAAACTGCAAGAAGCACACAATAAGCCAATAATCGATCAATAATCTCGTAAACAAACCGCCGCGGACGCTACGCTCTATGCTAACGGCAGCTAGCAGCGAGCTAGCTCTGAAGCTAACCGCCACAGTCGAAGGAAGGAGAAGCTTTCTGCTACAAAATGACGTTTCACATCATATTCATATAAAAACACAACAACAACAACCGACGAGCACATCGTTCTCACCATTTTCCGTCAGTGGATGTCGAAGCTGCCGAGGAGGAGTTAGTGTGAAGCTCCGTTACCGGGCGACGGTTTAATGAGCTTTAACGGGCAGATAGCGACCACCGGCTACCGGACTGCTGCTCGGGTTAGTGACAGCGGGGGAGAGATTCACCGCAGCGCCGGCAGAGAGAGCCGCAGAGGGGGGAGAGAGAGAGAGAGAGAGAGTGGAGGGAGAGAGAGAGAGAGAGAGAGAGTGGAGGGAGGGAGGGAGAGAGAGAGAGAGAGGGAGGAGGAGGAGGAGGAGGAGGAGGAGCTCGTCTATAAACAGGAGGAATCACTCTGAGGACGTCCCACTTATTAATGTGGTATTAATACTTTATACTTTATATTAAAGCTATTTATGATGTTCTTTGTGTTATTGTTTTATATTCTGCTATAATGTGTTTGTTCTTATTTCTTATTCAGCTATTTCTATTTAATATTGCTGTTATTGTCGTATGAGGCACATATTTCTTATTTTTATATTATTGTTGGACTAATGTTGTTGTTGTTATTAAAGTATAATGCACATATTTTGTGCTTCTTATATTTTATTTATATTGTTATTCTATAACGGAGTAACTGTAACGTGACTAGATTTTTGATTCTGATTCTGTTTTTTTCCCCTGACCCTTAATTATTGATTAAAGCTGAAACCAAGTCTCATTTATATCTTCTTTTTTTTTCATTTTTCACGAATATTAAAAATCTTTTTTGGGTTAATGATATTATTTGTCCTGATCGATTTTAGTCTGCCCGCCTTCTTCTGTGTCAGTGAGATCATTAAAATGCTGCTGGATGCGTAAAAAGTAAGGTTAAAGGTTTCTGTTGGGAGCACAGTGTGATCGTCTCTTTAGCAAACCTTTTCTTTGTGGAGTGATTCATCACCTCAAACACACAATCTCTGGAGAAAGAAGATCGCACAGCACATCCAGGTTTTCTCTCTGAAGCTCAACGGTTGCATCAATAACAACAAACATCAAAGATCATCAATAACAACAAACATCAAAGATCATCAATAACAACAAACATCAAAGATCATCAATAACAACAAACATCAAAGATCATCAATAACAACAAACATCATATATCATCAATAATATCAAAAATCATCAATAACAACGAAAAATCATCAATAACAACAAACATCAAAGATCATCAATAACAACAAACATCGTCTACAACCAACAACAAACATCGTATACAACCAATAACAACAAACATCGTATATCATCAATAACAACAAACATCATCTATAACCAATAACAAACATCGTATACAACCAATAACAAACATCGTATACAACCAATAACAAACATCGTATACAACCAACAACAAACATCGTATACAACCAATAACAAACATCGTATACAACCAATAACAAACATCGTATATCATCAATAACAACAAACATCATCTATAACCAATAACAAACATCGTATACAACCAACAACAAACATCGTATACAACCAATAACAAACATCGTATACAACCAATAACAACAAACATCATCTATAACCAATAACAAACATCGTATACAACCAACGGTTCCACCATCAGTAGCACCAAGGTTCCTCGACCCGGTTCGAGAACCAGAGTTAATTTGGTGGAAAAATACCATCGGTGGTCGAGACTGTCAGAAGGTCCTGGGTTTGAACCTTCTGTGTCGACTTCACGTGGATGATTCAGTTTCCATTAAAGATATTAGAGTTCATTCTTCCCTCTTCTATTACAGGAACCAGCTGGGGATCAATCGACCCCCTTCATCCCACCGGACCCAACCTTCTTCCTACGCTTCCCAGAATCTTCTCCCTGGTCTCTTTGTTGGGACACATCGTCAGTGTGACATTGAACTCGCTCTGAAAGGCCGATCACCTCCAGACTGAAGCTTCCTGATCTCAGCTAACCTCACGCAGTCGGTTCTGAGGATCCTCCAGGACGGTAGTCCGTTTCCACCGTCAGGGACCCCCCAGCTCCGCTCTGCTTCAAGCACCTCATTTTGTGAACAGTACTTTTATTTTTCATACATTTTCCTCATAATAACATAATTTATATTATTAATATTCTTAATTCTTTAATATTTGTACACTGTTATTTACATATATAATATTAAAATAAGTGTTACACTGCTCGTGGTGCTGACTGCTAATGCTGCCCACACTGTGAGATAATCTCAGGTTTCACTTACATACACGTATGCACACTGTACTCCCACCTTCATAACTCTGGTTTTAGTTGTATGATGTTTCATTGCTGTGTATTTTATATTAGACCCTCAGGCTGTGATAAATGACAGTAAAGTGATTTCTTCTGTGCCGTATTAATACGTCAGTACAGGATCTGAGTATTTCCTCCACCACTGCAAAACTGAAATATTCAAGTTTATAACAATAATAATTGGTTCAGTATACTCTTTTATTCACAAAGACACTTTATACTCCTTAAGTCCAACACATAACCAAACAGCAAGGTGTAGGCATCGAGATATCTTAACAAAGAACTAACAAACAGATCAGATTTGGCAAAATGAATCCAGCCATGCACTTCAGGAGGAAACAGAGAGAATAAAAACAGCCGCTGAAGCACAAATGTAATGTGTAAGTACCGCGACTCCAACGAAAGACAGACAGAGGCGTCCGAAGGCTTAAAGGAGAAGTCTGGTGATATTCTACATTTTACTTCCTGTCAACAAACGAACGGTGAATGTATCTACTAACAATGTGTGTATCTGCGTCCTCTGAGCTCCACTGTTGTAAGAAAAACTATTAAAAAACACACCAATGAGCCACAGTGCAGTTTATTTTGACTCAATCTCACTATAGAGCACCAAATGTGGATTCATCCGCCGCTGAAAATAGTTCCTCCTCCACTGGGTTTTTGTTTTTATCTTTAATAAAAGTGAGCAGCTGTTTCAGGAAATCACTGAACCTTTTTGAACATGTTGTTAAATTTAGAGTAACACCAGTCGTTCCCTTTAAAGGAGAAACCCACCATCATCCCTTCACACTGTTAGAACTCGTATTGTCTGTTTCCTTCTTTAGAAAACCTCTTTTTCTTAAAACCTGCAGCAACTTTTCTCTCGTTTTGTCTCGTCAGTGTTTTTGTGTTTTTGGTGGATTTTTCCAGAAATAAATAATGAAATACATAACACATAAGAAAAGTCAAAACTATTACAATGATGTACACGCTCTCAAACGTCGTCTGTCCTCTCTCGCGGACACATCCACACATTTAATAAATTAGGTCAAATACTTCCTCCGTCCACAGATGTCTTCCATCCTGGTCCTCGGCTAACGCTAGCTGCTGCGCTCCGTCCCTCCCGTCCCGTGCTGCGATACATTTAATTATCGAAGGGTATTTCTCTTTTCAGTCCACCTTAAAGGAACAGCTGGAACATTTCAGTCCAGTACAGAGATAGGTCCAATATTTAGCCTAGCTTAGCACAAAGACTGGAAGCAAGTGGAAACTGCTAGCCATTAAAAGTGAACAAATGCACCTCCCAAAAAAATATTAATATTAAATATTATTGAATTATTGAACAGGTGCAGAAATAGGGGACATTTTGGGTTTTAGAATCAGTGCTAGTGCCGGTTCAAACAGAAGCTTTTCTACAGACTGACCACCATAGAGCCACATCATTACATCACTATTATTATTATTATTATTATTATTATAGCTCACTAAACATCTAATAAATCCATAGCTATCTGCCCCTGATGTAAAAGGTTCTTGGTTCTAGACCAGCAAAGTTTTGGTGCTGCGCTGGAACCAGTTTTCCTAGTCCAGAACCGGTTCGAGGTTCAGCATCGCTCCGAGCCAGTAATAGTTGCCAGATTCTAGCTCTGAGCTAACTGTACAGTCAGCTGCCTGAAGGACGGACTGCTGACGAGCTGGTTAGCTGACGAAATCAGACAACTTTGGATTTGTTTGTATGTTTTTCCTCTCCTGACGGGCCGATGCCAGCAGCTTCCCACGACTGGAACCTGGAGGCAGAAGTGACGATGTACTACCGAGTGAAACCGCTCATTGATGAGTGCTCCAGTCTTTGAGCTAAGCTAGGCTAAACACATCCCAGACATATCTCCACACTAAACATACTGAGATTCATTTTATATTCGATTCCCCAAACGTCCCGACTGTCCCTTCAACCGCTGCGTTAAAGCTAAACTCTGCAGCTTCCTTTGATAGAAAACATCCTAAAAGCAAACCGAATCCGTGTGCAGTTAGCGTGTGTGTGTAAAGCATTTCTGCTTTTCAAACGATTCCCTTCTGCTGACCACTGCAGAGTAAAGCTTTAACCCCCCCCCCTTAAAGACACACAGCTAACAGCTAACAGCTATTCTTTCTTTTCCCTTTTCACTAAACAACACAAACACCAAACCCTCGCTGACGTGACGCCGCCTTTAGGATAAGGCTGTCCTTTTATTGTGATGCTGATGTTCAGAAGTAGTCCTGGTACAACTGGTGTCCCCTGCTCGGTGTACGGAGCGTGGACAGCGGGGGGGGGGCGGGCCCACTCAGTTGAACGCCTCCTTGTTGATCCACATGAGGGTCCGCGTCTCGTTGGGCTTGCATTCGTAGTCGATGCTGCTGAACTTGTTGCCGAACTGGCAGTGCTCCCTCTTGTAGTAGTTGTAGTATTTCGCCTGCCAGACCGTCTCAAACGTTCCCGCCTTGTTAAACTGCACAGAGAGAGAATCGTCATCACCCACAATGCAGCAGAAATGATCATTCAGCTCTTTCAGAGACGTTCAGAAACCATTTTACGGGAAGAAATATATATATTATGTAAAGGACGAAGCCCAACGAGGTCCATTATCGGCACTGTGCGTCGGGCGGTTCCTCGAAGGGCCACATCCCGCTGATACCACGGACACTAACCAGAGTTAAGACCATTCATTTATATTTTCATCCATTTTACAAATAAAATCTAAAGTTTTTATTAGGACAACGTTTGTCACTGCTCCAGTAAACAGGATGAACCTCGGATACGACTTCATGTTCAGCTACGAGCCTACATCAGTAATTAATGGACACCCTGCAGCCAATCAGAATCCAGTATTGATCCGGACCCTGTGTGCTGTTCACGCTGGAACCTTCCAGTGTAAAATATCTAGCTACCTCTAAAACCGTAGATAACTCTACTCCCCACCCCGATTGGCTAGTACTTTGTTGGTTTGGTTGTTTAGGTTCAGGCATGGTTAGGGTTATGGTAAGGTGATCGCCGTCCGGTTCTGTTTCGTGGGTAATAAATGACGTGATATCGGAGCAGAGACTCGCAGATACCCGATCAAACAGTCTGGATCTGAACGACCCTGCTTTCATTTGACGGTCAGACTTCTATATTTCTCTCAGCAGCAGCAGTGATATCTCCTCACTGCGCCGCCACCGCCGCTGTACCTCCATGCTGACTTGGACGGGTTGCCGGTCTCCGCTCTTGGTGTGCGGGACGCCCTCGGTGTCGTACAGGGCGTGATAAACCACCGACTCCTCGTCCCTGGACTGCTGCTCCAGAGGGAAGACGATGCCTCCGATGTTCATGGTGCTGTGAGGAGGAAGAGGAGGAAGAGGAGGAAGGTTAAAGCTTTGTTTAAGTGATGGGAACGTTTCAGCACCTTCAGGGAGAAAATAACAAGATAATACTTTAATATAATTAATATAATTAATAATTCTACATCATTAACTACATTACTTCTGTTCCTCCTGATCGGAAACGATCCAATCACGTCGTTGGATTCGTGTTTGTAATCGTGGAGGAAACTAGTTTGGAAATACTCTGATTACTTTGATTTTAACTGGAATCGTCTGAATAGAACTAGTACTGTAACTAACTGCTGTAATAAGTAATTCCATTACTTTTGACTACTTCTTTGAGCCCAACACTGGTTCTCTGTATAAACTCTGTTATGTTATATTCACTGTGGACCCGCCCTGCTCCTCAACAGCAGAGCCCACAGGAACTGTCTGTCTGTCTGTCTGTCTGTACACCAGCACACAGACAGACCGACGCATCCTGACACCAGCAGCCATTAAACACACACACACACCGCACGCACACACACACACACACACACACACACACATGATTTATTCAGGCGGATATGTGATGCTTCAGGCCTGCAGGAGGAACCACTAACATGGACGCCCACTGCGGCTTTACTCTGTCTTTATAAACGCTCTTTACACCGGATCCCTGACCCGTAGATGTTCTGTTTATATCTGTATGACCTTTATAATCTCAAGGACCGATGAGGAACCCGCTCCCTGTGGCCTCCTGCTGCAGAGGAACCACAACGTCCGCCGCTAGAACCCGGACAACACGGACAATATCCCTTTCTAATAGATGCTCTTCTTACGTGGCCTCGACGTTTCCAGGCTTCAGCACCACCTCGATCTTGTACTTGGAGCCAGTGAGCAGTTTGATGGTCCTGCTCTGGCCGAACCGGGTCCCGTCCACCTTGAAGAACACGGGCCCCTCGTTGGGCTGGATCCGCAGGGAGATGGAGATGTTGATGATCGGAGGGACGTCGTCCATTATCCCGGCTTTAGTCTTCTAACGGGGTCAGCTTCGGGTCCCGTATCGAGGGGGGAAGGCGGCGGAGGATGCGGTGATGCTGAGGAGGGACCGGAGTCAGGACAGCGCGGGGCTTCCGGCCACGCGTTTCAAAATAAGAGCGGAACTGTGAGGGCTGTGAGTAAAGCCTACATGTGCATCAATCAGAGGTCACTCACACACACACACACACACACACACACACACACACACACACACACACACACACACACACACACACACACACAGCATACTGCCGATAAAGAGTGACTAAAATAAGCTGATAATGATCCTGATCAGCCAGCATCAGTAATCAATAAATTAGCAATAAATTATTATTAAAACCATTAATTTAAACATCAGTCACAATCAGACAACCTGATCAGCCTTCAGCAGTCAGCTAGTGTTTCTGTAGTGGAGACTAAACGTTAACAATGATCCATATCAGCAGTTTGAATCCAACTAAAAGCTCCCTGCACCAAACTCCCTTTAAGAAATATCACATTTTAACAATTCCTAACGTGTTCGTAACAACACGTAACTCTAGAAACACGAGCTAAAGGCCGTCATATGTCCACAGTCTGACTGTCAATACAGGATCAATATCATCCATAAAGATACAGTGTATATTGATCAATATCATCCATAAAGAAACAGTGTATACTGATCAATAATCAATAAAGATACAGTGTATACTGATCAATAAAGATAGTGTATAATGATCAATATCCTCCATAAAGATACAGTGTATACTGATCAATAATCAATAAAGATGCAGTGTATACTGATCAATATCATCCATAAAGATACAGTGTATACTGATCAATATCCTCCATACAGATACAGTGTATACTGATCAATAATCAATAAAGATACAGTGTATTCTGATCAATATCATCCATAAAGATACAGTGTATACTGATCAATAATCAATAAAGATACAGTGTATCCTGATCAATATGAGAGGCAGTTTTATGGTGTGTTGGTATCTGAGGAGGTTATTTTGGCCGTTACCATAGTAACTACCCGGCTTCCTGCTTCCTGTATCTGCTCTCATTGGCTGCAGCTCGTTAACCGATTATTTTATTGATTAATTGACTTAATGACATTTTCCACAGAGGTCGAGTGAAGGACTTTATCTGTGTGGACACAATAATAGAAACACCTTATGACACGCACACACGCACACACACACAGAAACTGAATCACAGGCTCCAACGCTGATTTATTCTCAGTCATATTTACATCAAAGCAATAAAAAAAGCTTCATTTCAGCCAATAATGTTAATATTTCATTTCCCCATGATCCTTTTTTTCTTAAAAAAAAGTTTTAAAAAGATAATTATGTACAATTGTTTGTGTGCATTCACATGAAAACACAAAAAGATATATTAATATTAAAAGGGTTAAAAATCAGACTTTATATAAAGTCCTGAACGCCGTCGGTCATCGGTCCAGCTCCGCCTGAAGGATCTCTCCCCACGTCTCGGCGTCCAGCGGCGTCATCTTCCTGCCGACCAGCTCCTCGGCCGATCTCACGCTGCTGTAACGTCCTCGCAGCCAGTCGCTCTTCAGACGGCTGCGGGTGAAGTTCCTCACCAGGGTCACCTGAGAGAGGACGAGACAACCATTCCATCACCTCTGACCTCTGCTACCAGTCCCGTCTCACAACGAGGAAATATTAATAACATATCCTGTCAATTTACATGTTTAATGTTAAATAATCTGTAAATAATCCGAAAAATACTGTTTATTTAAAGAAAATGTCCTTTAACACGTAAAAAGATTTAAATGTATTTGCATGTAATTGTTTCTCAGATATTTACTGTTTAATTAATAGATTTAACCGTTAAATTCAAGTTTAATATTGTTTAATACATTTATAAAATTATTTAAAATTAGTGACATTAACAGTAAAAAGTATTAGTTGTGTAATTTTAATGTATTAGTTAGTGAACTGACAGATATGTTGTATAATGATGGAAGTTAAATAAATGTTGTTTATCAGTGTATAAGGTAAACTGTCCAAATACAGTTGTTATCAGTGTAAACAGCAATAATTACTGTAATCTCACAGATAATGACTTTTATTACACTTCTATAACTTTTAACATTCACATTAAAATAATAACAATCCAATAATAACAGCACTCTGCTGTAAATGTAAGTCTGATTATTGTATTATAGTACACTGTAAATATATTTAATTAAACATTAAAAAGACAAAAAAACATAGATTTGATGTAAAATTAAAGTTAAAAACTGTATTTTAAATTACAGAAAATTACAACATACATTACAAATCTCACAAACACACATCAGCTCATGAACAGGAGTCATTTATAAAGTCATAAACAGGTGATTTATGGAGTCTGAAAGGTGGTTTGGGTTAAAAATGCTGTGTTTTAAAATGTATACAGTATAATGAAGTCAGTTCAAGGTGAGGTGTGTGTATGTATGTTTCAGTGGCTCCATTACAGCTGTAGAGATTCACCGATACGACTCAGACGTCGTCTCTGAATCGTAACCGATGTATCTGGATTCGTATCGGATCGTCTCAGAAGGTGTTCCTAGAAAGCGGACCTACCTTCCAGGACAGGCCGTCCCTCCTGTCGCTGTCGACCTCCCTCTGGCAGACGGCGGCGACCAGCAGACACTGGCCCCTCCACAGCTGGTCGCTCTCCTCGATGATGTGGTGCCACAGCTTGCAGGTCCTCGAGGCGCTGCACAGGCTCTCCGCGTCCAGCTCGCCGAAGATCTTCACGCTCATCTCCGTCGGCAGGGTTTCGGCAAAGTTGTGAGTGTGGGCGGCGCCGCGGGGCGATATCAGGGAGGGGCTTCTCTCACAGAGGAAGAACACAGGAGAGGTCCTCGGGGAGTCATACTGCATATTAGCTCAGAGTGCAGCAGGTCTGAAACAGCCTGAACAGAAAGGAGCAACCAATGTCACACAGACTGACAGACAGACAGACAGACAGACAGACAGACAGACTGACAGACAGACAGACAGACAGACAGACTGACAGACTGAAGACAGACAGACAGACTGACAGACTGACAGACTGACAGACAGACAGACAGACTGAAGACAGACTGAATACAGACAGACAGACAGACTGCAGACAGACAGACTACAGACAGACAGAATGACTGACTGACTGACAGACAGACAGACTGAATACAGACTGAAGACAGACAGACAGACAGACAGACAGACAGACTGAAGACAGACAGACAGACAGACAGACAGACAGACAGACTGAGAGACAGACTGTCAGACAGACAGACAGACTGACTGACTGACAGACAGACTGCAGACAGACTGAATACAGACTGAAGACAGACAGACAGACAGACAGACAGACAGACTGACAGAGAGCAGACAGACAGACTGAATACAGACAGACAGACAGACAGACAGACTGACAGACAGACTGAATACAGACAGACAGACAGACAGACAGACTGACAGAGAGCAGACAGACAGACTGAATACAGACAGACAGACTGACTGACTGACTGACAGAGAGCAGACAGACAGACTGAATACAGACAGACAGACAGACAGACAGACTGACAGACAGACTGAATACAGACAGACAGACAGACAGACTGACAGACAGACTGAATACAGACAGACAGACTGACTGACAGACTGAATACAGACAGACAGACTGACTGACAGACTGAATACAGACAGACAGACAGACAGACAGACAGACTGACTGACAGACTGAATACAGACAGACAGCAGACAGACAGACAGACAGACTGAATACAGACAGACAGACAGACAGACAGACAGCAGAACTTAACATTTAAAATCAATAAAAACTAAAGTGAAAGAAGCTCTGGAAACCAACTGAAATACAAACAGAACAACAACAACACATTGAAACACATCTTAAATGAATGATAATGTATAATAATATATATATATATATAATGTCCTTATGTTGGTGGAAATCTAACCACTCATTATAAAGCACAGGACCGGATGTAGAACAGCTTTAATTTAAACACAGAAGAAGAAATATTCGCAGCACGAGTCTTCGCCCCGGCTAGCATGTTAGCATGTTAGCTCGCTAGCTCCCAGCGGCTGCAACCCGCCCCGGCCTCCCGCGGCCCTAAATACCCCTTTTACCCCTTTTACCCCCCGGGGCAGCGGGTACTGACCGCCTGCCGCCACATTGAACAGTATGAGAGGCTAAAGTGAGGTTTAAATGTGTGTTTCTTACCGTTGGGGGGGGGCTCTGACAGCTGTTTAAATGTCTCAACCGTTGTTTACACACACACACACGTCACCGTGTTTTTAACGGGGTGCGCATGCGTGCGAGGGTCATACGCCCACAGCTGACGTCAGTGTGTGATTGATCCACGTTTCAATAATCATAAAGAGAAAGAAATATTCTCACTCTATTAAATATATGGGTCATAATTATTTAAACTATTAGACAGAAAGTTTAAATTATGATTTAGAAAGTCAACATTAGCTTCTATTTATATTTATTTTCGTTTTTACCCAATGTACCGTAGTGAGAAGCGTGAACCAAATCTAAAAGTTACAATTCTGATCAACTAAAATCATACTCTATATATTTAATGTGTGCCGAATTAAAGAGCGATATCTACTTATTGATAATCAGTCTTGATGTTTATTATATCCGCAAGAAAATAACAGAAATAAACAAAAACGTTTTAAATTGTAAACAATCAGGATGGAATCCGGTGAACGTGTTGATCACACGTGTCTACTGCGCATGCTCCACTCCATCCCGGAAGTTTTGAAGTGTGTGGCTGACAGCAGAAGTTTCTGTTCGCGGGGTTTCAACCCTGAGGGATCGATACTTATCCGGTCGACCTCCACAGCAGGTAGGCCGAATTACAGTCCACTACTGCGGGGTCCGCTGTGACTTTAGCTTTAGTTTCTGTTCCCCGCAGGCAGGCAGGCAGACAGACAGACAGGCAGACAGACAGACAGGCAGACAGACAGGCAGACAGACAGACAGACAGTTACACATGGAGCATGAGTTAGAGAAGCTCTTTAAATCCTGATACCGTTCAGTAAGAAAGTCTCTTCCCGCTTCCACTCGTCCCTGAAACAGTTGTGTTGCTGTGCGGTCCCTCCCGGGGTGAACCTCCCTCCCGGTCCCTCCCGGGGTGAACCTCCCCCCCGGTCCCTCCCGGTCCCTCCCGGGGTGAACCTCCCTCCCGGTCCCTCCCGGTCCCTCCCGGGGTGAACCTCCCGGTCCCTCCCGGGGTGAACCTCCCGGTCCCTCCCGGGGTGAACCTCCCGGTCCCTCCCGGGGTGAAGTCCCTCCCTCCCGGGTGAACCTCCCTCCCGGGGTGAAGCTCCCTCCGGTCCCGCTGAGCTGAGCTGATGTCCGGCTTCGACCTCGTCCCGGAGGACGGCGGGGACCCCATCCACCTGCCGCCGGGGGAGACGGTGCTGGGCCGGGGTCCCTTCCTGAGAGTGAGTCCTCCTGTTGCTTCAGTTCATATTAATGTTGTGCTGTTGTTGTTTCACAGGAGCAGTTCGTGTTAAATATGTTTGTCATATTTGATGAAACTTTCACTGTATCCTGGTAGTATTATGAGACAGATAATCAGGCTCCTCCTGGTGCTCCTCCTGGGGTTCCTCCTGGGGCTCCTCTGGCTCCTCCTGGTGCTCCTCCTGGTGCGCCTCCTGGGGCTCCTCCTGGGGTTCCTCCTGGGGCTCCTCTGGCTCCTCCTGGTGCTCCTCCTGGTGCTCCTCCTGGGGCTCCTCCTGGGGCTCCTCCTGGGGCTCCTCCTGGCTCCTCCTGGGGCTCCTCCTGGTGCTCCTCCTGGGGCTCCTCCTGGGGCTCCTCTGGCTCCTCCTGGGGCCACTGGGCCAAACAAAAACAACCAATCAGAGCAGAGAAAGTTAGTTTAGTCATAAATACAGATTATTTTTAATAAAAAACGTTCCTATTAATTTGTAAATGACTTATGTTCATAAAATAAATCACTTTATGAATCAGTCTTTAATTCGGGACACATGTAATACACTTTACTTTTGATTTGGTTCGTACTTACTACAGTTCCTCTCTGGTCATATTATTACAGTAATTCTGCCTCCAGGTTAGATAGATCTAGTTATATAGAGCTGAGCAGAGCGACTGAAACTGCTGTTTTTATCGTCTACGTCGGTGAATTAAGGATTTATTTCCACCAAACCAGAGTTGGTGATTGTTGGAAACACTAACAGAGACGCTTTAATGAATTCTATTTGGGTTTTTTGTACAATTATCTACTAAAATTACTAATTTTGTCAATGGAGTCTGGCTGGCTGTAGCTCCTCAACCTTTTATTAGATTTTTCACGTTTCTTACAAACAGATGAATACACAGATTTTAACTGAACACACTCGTCTCTGGAATTTCAGTCTTTTGCTTCTGCTGAAAATGTCTTGAAATCCAAAACAAGACAAATTTATTATATTTTATTATTTAAATGTAATTTATTGCACTGACGCACTGTAGTGCAATAGGTATGCGATAGGTATGACTGAGATTTTGAAGCAGACTAATATAATGTGTGTGTTGTATTGTGTGTTCCACATACACAAACACAGAGACACTGAGGTAGAAACTGAGCTGCAGCTCTTCCACCGAACCACTGGAGGACGCTGTCACACTGACAACAGGATGGGGAACGTCTGATGGGACACATCAGTCTGAGTTTATCGGAGGGTTTCCAGCAGTTATTGCTGTTTCTGAAGCACCTCTGCTTCTAATATATACAACTCACTGCCACTAGATGGCGCACTAGAGCACCAGCACATCAGACTGTCTTCTGTCTGTAGTTAGTAACATTTTTTGTTGTTTTCTTTCCTTCCTGTTGTCTCAGGTCAGTGATAAGAGAGTGTCCAGACAGCACGGGCTGCTGGAGAACCTGAACGGACAGCTGCGTCTCAAACCGGTACGTCCTCCCACCTGGACCGCGTTTATTCTTCATCATGGATGTTTATTAATAACCGATAATTACCTGCTTCTCATGGCCGATAACTGATAATATTGCATTGTTGTAATTTAAAAAGGAGTCGATAACCTGGAGTTTATCGACTCCTGAGAAAAGATGATTTAATATTCAATAGCTCTGTTCTAACCAAATCTAACTGTTGTTCTATTGTTTACAACAACAACAACAACAAAAAACAACAGTTCTGAGTCTTCAAATGTTTATTTTTTCCAGTAAAGTTATTAAGTAAAAAACTTTCAATCAATCGTTTTGCATAAGAAGTCCAAATAATTTATTATCGATATCAACCGATAATTTATTGGCTGTACTTGAATTATCCTGATCATTTATAATAATATAAATTTCCCATTACCGGCTGTTTAATAATTTATCCTGCATCCTTACTCTTTATGAAGATCCACACCAATCATGTTGGAGCAACTTACTGCAGCTGCACGATATGGTAAAAACAGTGAAAAAATAAAAGTTCTTTAATTTTTTACAGGAAAAATAAACATGTTTGCATTAAAAATATAATTTTAACTGAAAACACTTTCAAAATCATGCAGACGTGACATTTCTTTGAGATCTGTACCAACAAGATCTGAGGGCCAGAACATCTCTGCAGCTCTACAGTACTTCACTGTAACGCTGATTCTTACATTTATGGTTCCTGCATTTTGGATGTTCCCTGAGCCCATATTGTATAACATTTCGATTAACTGTGCAGCCCTATTGGTGAAACTGGAATCAGTATCGGCTTTATGCTCTTCTGACCTTTAGACCCACCTGAATCCATGCTTTGTTCAGTCGTCCCCGACCGAAGACCCCCGACCTCTGCAGAGAGACTCCTGGCACCCTCTTCGTCACGGTGACTTGATCTCTCTGCTGCCGGGGCAGCTCATCTACCGGGTGGCGGCCGTGGGCGGAGGAGACCACACTCCCAGGTATTTGTGCGTCGTGTTAATGCTCCGTGTCAACATAAAGACACGACTCTCATCTGCTGCAGTCTCCCCCGACGTCTCCGTGAATAATTCAATCAGGACAGAAGAGGCTGCTCTCCTCTGTTTAATTAAAGCCCTATCTTTTATCTCTGCGGAGCAGTCTGCGTGGGGTTGAAGGCGGGGCGGTGTAAGTGCTGCTGACTCAATTAAAAGCCAACATTAGCGGGGAATGTTTATTTATGTCGTCTTCGGTTATCTTTTATCTGAGTTCCCCCTCCATTGTGCTGCTGCGAGCTCTCTGAAGTTCAGATCAAACAGACGGGAAAGGACACTCGAGCAGTGCTCAGACCAGCTCATGTAAAATTCATCCTGAAACAGCAGCAAGCTTCCACAAATTCTGGTTTCTGACACTTTTCACGTAATTGTTCCTCCCGAGAGAGTTTTAACCTCACTTGTTCAGGCTGAATGTAATTTTGTCAAATATCCCTTCCCGTAGGAACAGTCAGATGTTTGAAGACGAAGAAGAACTTCCTGTTTCTCCTGCGCCAGATGTGGAGCCTCCTATTGGGCAGGACCGTGGACAGACTCCTCCCACACCAGCAGCTCCATCAAACCAGGAGGTCGCCGACAGAAGTCTGAACAAGGTTTGCAGACTCGCAACAGAATGTTTATGAGAGAGAAGAAGCAGTTCTGAGCTGGCAGTTATATCATGTCCGTCTCTGTCGAGGTAGGAACGCACCTGTGTGGGGATCTGACGTTGGGAAACTTTGTATGACGCAATGAGAAGAGCAGTTCTTTTACTAACCTGCTATATAAGCTATAGTCTAGAGCAGCAGTTCCCAACCTGGGGGTAGTGGGGGTCACCAAACCTTCCTGGGGAGGTCGTGTGGCCTTCTTGATTTTAAGGGGTGTAAGAAATCTTAACACATATACAGAGTAGGCAGACATCTCAGCATTTTGTTTACTTCTGTGAAGAAAACTAAATAGTCTAATAGAACAAGCATCAAAAAAGAATCCTATTAAATCTGTGTGATTGTTAAAAATGATTAAAAAATACATAATACAGACACAGAATTGTATTAAAAGTTCCCTAAACAGGAAATAATCTGCTCAAAATTCATCCAAATCTCTGGTTTTACACAGACTTCCTGCAGTTACTGAGTTCACTGTTTGGGTTCATTGTACAGTTTGAATATAATATGAAATATTATAAATGATAGAAAAGGATCTCTGAAGGAAAAAGGTTGGGAAGTAGTGTCACATTCCCTCAGTTGAACATTCATATCTAACTATCTGAGGATCTGTCTGGTTCTTGTAGAAAGACTCTGTCCAGTCAAAAGAAGAAGAAGAAGAGGAAGAGGAGGATGAAGTCACTCCGTCTGTTCGCAGGAGAAGAGTTTTACCTGGGTGGATGATGGCGGCTGTAGTGACTCCACACGCTTCTTCGTCCAGCCCAAAAGGTACCGTGTTCATGTTTCACTACAGTAGATATGAGTTCATGTGTCTGTTCAGATTGGAGCTTCACCTCGAGGAAGGTCCCTTTTTTAAATTCGGGATCTAAAAATTAGGGATGTCCTAATCAAGTTTCCCCCCCCGATCCGACTCCAAGCTGTTCCTTACTGGGTTTTTTATGTCTGCTGGAGATTTCAGACATTTCAGACCCTCACGTCTGTAAACGTTTCTGTGTGCTACCTGTTTGTAGCTAAGCTAACGGCTCAGTTATTGATTAGAGGGTTAGCAAAAACTAGCATAAACTCGAGTTTAGTCGTCCCAAACAAGCGACTGTATGTCAGCATTTGTCTTAAAACATACAGGCTGATTTAAAACAGCTTTATCGGTACAATGCTATGAACTGTGGGTAATTCCCTGCATAAGTGCACTCCTGAACGCACCTCGAAGTCTGTGTGTGTGGATATTTGGCCACAGACTTTACGTAACACTAGAGGAGTAAACTGTGATCCCTCTCGGTCGCGGTTGCTTTTGAATTCCTGATCAAACCTTTTGGTTTTGAAGCCAGAAGATAGGATTTTCCATGATGCAGCCTGTGGTACATTTGGCTGGAGGAAGGATTCTGCTCTCAGGTGACGCTGTGCAGAGCCGCCGCACGGACCCAGCAGACGTTTGTTGACCTTAAACAGCAGCTGAACCCGACTGCCACACAGTCTGAGGGCTTCAGTACAACCTGCGGTAGTCGATGAAGTGACGTTAACAAGAGAGTGAACGGAGGTGTGAGACTGCGGTTGTGTATCAAGATGTTCTTTGATAATTAGAGCAGCTAATAAAAGACTATGGAGATCCTCTCAGAGTGTGTGTGTGTGTGTGTGTGTGTGTGTGTGTGTGTGTGTCGCTGTGTTTTCTGACAGTATTAAAGCCACTGTTTCCCCCTGAGTGCTGCTGTGCTCTAATATTTACTCTGAGGGAAAGCAGACGGCTTCCATTACTGCGTCCATCCGCTCACTTAAAGGCTGCGTTTAACTGAACAGAGTGGACGGGTGGAAAAGTTCCAGTTTCCTAAAGAGGAACCGGTGAAGCTGCTCGGAGTCGTCTTAACTCTGAGTTAAAGAACAGTGGAAACACAAGTTTTACTTCACAAAAACATTTAAAGTGCAGTATAATCAGATAAATTCCAGTGGTGGAAAGTAATTAACTACTTTTTTTAATGAAGTATTTCACTCTAGTTACTCTTGATGAGGTGGTGAAGCAGCATGGGATCATGGGAGTTGTTGTCTTCACCACCATTGGCGTCATTGCAGTCAGCTTCTCCCGGTTAGGATTCCTTCAGTGTTCATGGTTCAGGAGGTTTCTACCGGGAGCCCAATGATCCACAGAGGTCTCCTCCTCTCCAACACAAACAGACCCGCTGATTAAAACCACTAAACACACTGAATAAAGCAGTTCCACCTTAACAATCACTGAATAAAGCAGTTCCACCTTAACAATCACTGCTTCTCCCACGCTGTTGGACAGACAAAGGACGTCCCGGAGGGGCTGCGAGCCGAGCTGCTGCTAACGTTAGCTCAGCTTGTTTCTCTGATAACTTAAGATCCAGACGTCCGATGACTAAAATCCTTCATCCGGTTCCAATCTAGAGTTAAAAAGCACCAAGATCTAAACAGTGGATGGTGACAATGTGGCTCTGATATCTGTCTCTCTGTTTCAGTTCAGTCAGCCGTGAAGAGAAGTAAAGGAGCCTCAGCGGCGTCGACCGGCACTAAACGAGCCGCAGCCAAACAGTCCAAGACTTCCTCAGCTGAGGAGGCGGGGGTCAGCGAGGAGGAAATGCCGAAGAAGAGGAGAAGGAAGATCAGCGATGAAGACGAAGCTCAGTCTAAAACAGTTGAGTACAGTTGGTAATGTGTACTTTTCTTTCATCATCTTTGGTCCAAATAAGACTTTACTCAACACACACAACATGCAAATGTTGTTGACTTCCAGGACGTTCCCTCCCAGCGGCCCGCAGTTCGACCCCAGAGTGAATCCAACAGGCCCGAGGTCAGCGACGAGTCTGACGGCTTCACCATGGAGGTGGACGAGGAAGGCCGAGGAGGAGGGACCTCGACATCGGCGTGTGCAGTCAGTCAGCCCGAGGATGAAGACAGCCGGTGGAGAAACGGACGACAAACCAAACAGGCAGAGTCCGTGGGGAGCAACAGCGGCTCTGCGTCCGGACCCGCTCCGTCCAAACCACGACTCCGAACGGCGTGTCCGTACGGGAAGGACTGCTACAGGTACGTTTCCCTACGAGCGCACGCCGAGCTCAGTACATCAGTCACTTGAGCTGAAGAACATGAAGCAAACTGAATCCGGTCCAAAGGCTTCTCCGAGCAGCTGCCTCTCAAATTTAAGATAAAGGATCATTTAAAAAAAACATTAAAGGAAAACTAGAAATCGTCTTTCTGTCTGTCCGTCCTGAAAGAGGGCCCTCCCCTCTGTTTCTGGACAGAACGCTGTTGGCTCCTTTAACTGAAAGCAGGGAGACGTTTTTGTGTGCAGAGGCTCTGACAGTGACCTCTCATCACCTCCCTCTTTGTTTTTGCTTCTCCAGGAAGAACCCGGTCCATTTCCAGGAGTGCAGTCACCCCGGTGACACCGACTACGAGGAGGACGAGGACGAGGAGGAAGAGCGGCCCGAGTGCCCCTACGGCACGGACTGCTACAGGTCAGACATCACAGCACAGTCATTATTACCACTAGATGACAGGGATCGATCTCTGATGCATTTTTGAAATGTGCTGAGAGGCTGCTAGCAGAGCTGAAAGGTTGCAGTTACACTTTAAACTTCACTGTGACTTTGATTTTCTTTTTTTTCCCTTCACAGGAAAAACCCTCTTCACAGGAAAGAATTCAAACACACAAAGAAACCAGGTAGGATCCTTCTGGTTGTCTTTCTTTGTTTAAATGTTGATTGTAATTAACAGACAGCATGTAGCATCAACACTGCGGACATTATGAAACTCATAATTTATTCCTTTCAAATCTGTTGAGTTGTTAATGAAAAAGGTCTGTTCTCGACATATAATACATTTAAATTTCAAATATATTCCTCAATGTCAGCTTCTTTAAAATGCAGGAAAAAGTAATTAACTGGGTCCGTTATACATCTTTGATACAGCCTCATTTGAAAGGAGAGAACATTTAATAACCAAACATTATGGATGGTGAAGCTCTATCGCTCCATCACCACTCCAGGACTTGAACGCACCACCAAGAAGGATCATTATTGAAACTCTTAAGATGAACGCTATGTTACACAAACTGCAGTTCCTCTAATGGCCACTAGAGCCTCCAGCAGTGAGTCAGTCTCCATAAGGCCTCATATTAAAACTTTACAGCAGAAATAAACATGTTTACAGCCTTTTGGTCCTTTAGGTCGACTGTACAACTCACCTGTTTAAATTAAACTACGCACACAAAGTTAGGGATATTCCACTTTTGGCTGAAATCTATGGAAAATGTCAAAAGTAGATGCTACAGTGATATTATATCATGAAAGTAGGACATTTAAGTAGAAGCATGCAATGGTTATTTCTTCATCTCATCTTCAACAGTGGTGGTTATACCACAACAAGAAATGTCACTGTCAGTAAAATGTCTTTTGTCCTTGAGCATCAATTACAGCTCGACAAGACGTCTCATGCTGTTCACAAGTGGACTTATTGCAACCTGCTGATGACACTCTGTGACACTCTAAGCTCAGTGGAAACCTCCCTCTGAGTACATCCCGATTGAAGCCTCGCACTGGCCAGGGACTGTTGATCCATTGTTAGGTGTCGTCTTGGTTTCGTGATGTTAAAATGTGAACAGCATGATGAAGAGGACTGTTTAAATACAAACTGTCATTGAACCAGAAGAACAGCATGTTATGCAATAAGTACTGAGACATTGAACAGTTGGACATATGCATTCAAAAGTTTAGCGAAGGTCAAATTAAGATCACCTGGAAAGGTTATAGTGCATTTTATGTACATTCTGAAATTTCCTCCGGAAGCCGAATTTCCCTAACTTTTTGTGAGTAGTGTATATGGAGGCTTAAAGTCGTCCATAATTAAAGGTCGTGGCTGCTTTGAGCACTGGAAGGACGGAAAAACATTTGAAATGGCGACAGGATGACTGGTCCTTTAATAAAGCAGCAGCTCTGCCTCTCACACACACACACACACACACACACACACACACACACACACTCCGTCACCAGAGTTGATCGGCATCTATAAACCGACTGGGGCCTATTGATTTGTTTCTGTTAGCAGGTTGTATAATTTAACCTCGGGACGTTAACTCCCCCACCACAGAGGAAACGGCCCTGTGACCACAAACACACTCCAGCGGTCGCCGCCCTTTAATGACAAACCGCTCTTCACTGACGAGAAGCGTCGCTCCTCAGAGCAGAATTTGCACTTTGATGCCTCAGTTGACATTTAGTTTACAATTTATTCTCCGTCACTCGTCTCGGTCTCCTGATTAAAGACACGCCTCCTCGCCGCGACCCGTGTTTACACCCTCAGGATGAAGACACACAGAGAAGAGATGTTTATTTCTCCCACACTGATGTATCTTTCAAAGACTTAATTATTTAACACAAAGTAGTGTAACAAAGTGTGTAAGATTATTGAGTTCATAGAATAACATCAATCAAATAAATCAATAAATACAGTTATTTATTTGTTATTATATTATTATACATCTTTTGAATTTGGTTGAATTTAAACAGCAGCAACAATTTTGCCTTTAGCCCTTAAAATCAAACCCGATCAGACTTCAGCAATAAAGCTTTGAAGGAACTACCGGCCGCTACATTTACACAAAAAGAAATAAGATATATCGATGATTTCTGGCCTAAAATAAAGAAATATTGAACCTCACAGTTTAAACAAAACTAGCGAGTCGACAACTTCGCTAACGCAGACAAACATTGAATAAGTTGAATCAACACGAGACACAGCGAGCAGCTGATATTACTGACGACAGCTCGCCGTCTGTCTGCAGACTTTTATTTCACCAGGCTCTTCCACCTCTTTATCCAACCACTAACAGCCAGTCTCACATTCACTCTCCTCTTCCTCTGCTGAACCTTCCTCCGTCAACGTCCTCTCAGCTCTCTGAGTCTCTGGCGTTAGTCACACACAGAAGCTGCTGAACCTGGTTACGTCCGGTTCTGGCTCCCCCTCATTCCCGGTCTGAAAACATTCTCCTTCCGGCATCCCCCCCCCCACAATGATAGTGAAGCTATTACTAAGTTACATAATGGGGCTTTAAAATGTCGACCTGAGGGTGGCGCTTAAAGTGTAAAGTCAGAGGAAGTAAAACAAGTTGGTAGAATGTTTCCACAAGATCCAAAAAACCCTCTGTAGAGACGGATTGTGACGACAGCAAAACCTTATTTAAAAAAACAAATCTTTTATTGTCTTTTTCTTTTTGCTCCTTATCCAAAGTAGGAACCGGCTCATCAGAGAGCTTTTACAGAGCTCGTGTGAGTGTGACTCTAACGTAAACCTGTTCCCTGTTTACAGCCCGCACTACTCGCACCGCCCCCAACAAGACCTCCGCCGATGACGAAGACGAGGACGAGGACTTCGGGGACGACGACAGCTTCATTAATGACGACAGCGAGGACGGGGGCGATGACTCGGACTACGAGCCCCCGGACTCGGATGAGGACATCAAAGGACTACAGAGAGAAGCAAAGGCCCTTCTGAAGAGGAGGAAGTAGACTCAGACTCCTGTTTGTTTGTTTGTTTGTTTGTTTGTTTGTTTGTTTGTTTGTCTTAAAGCTGCGACAGGCGGCCTTTTTATGTGCACTGACAGACCGGTGACACCACCAATGAGACCGAGGCAGCAGCTGAGGCCTCGACAGACTCCGGTGAACCTGGGAATGAGTCTGGATCTCACTTTAATACTGTTGTCGTGCTTCCTTTAAACAAATGACTTGTTCTGGTGTTAAACAGCGATACCCAGTCCAGATTAAAGGTCGGGTAGAACATTAATATAACACTGGACCACCAGAACCGTCTCTGTTAGTGTTTCCAACAATCACCAGCTCTGGTTTGGTGGAAATAAATCCTGAATTCACCGACGTAGACGATAAAAACAGCAGTTTCAGTTGAAGATAAAAGCAACATAATTTACATACATCTGCAGTAAGTGTTATGTATAAACACCAACAGCACGTTGAGCTCTCAGGACCTCGGCGTCGGCCTCTCTCTCTGTTTACTCACGTCGTATCTAAACATTTCTGCGTTCATTCGCTTCCTGCTGCCATCGTGTCGCCATGGCAACGTCAGTCACAACAATGGCCTGCAATAATTCAGGTTGATTTGAAGGACAGTGTTTTTGTATGAAAGTCCTTCCTCATGCAGCTTTAAATGAAGAAATGTTCTCTTATTTCCAATGAACCTCTCTGTCTGTTCTTGTTGATTGAGTGTCTGTGTAAATATGTCACATTTAGGAGTTTTAGGAGTAGATCTCTTAGAATTTTTACTCTATTTGTTGGACCTTTGTTCTTACCTTGTTTAAATACACCTGATGCGAAAGTGGTCTGTCGTGTCTTCATTTCATGGTGAAACAGTTTGTTGACTTTAGTAACAGAAATCCTCCTGAGCAGTTGTTTTGGTATCCACCAAAAAAACCCACAAGATGATTCTTAAGATTCTCAATCATTTGATTTTCATGTATTAATCAGTGTTTATCAGCAGAGAGTGAACAGGTTGTAGTGTAGCTTTGTCCCTCTGCTGTCTGTGGACTGATCTCTATGTGTCTCTATGTAGGATGAGGGTCAAAGGTTGTGACATTTATGCTCCCGAGTGCCAACAGTGGGCAACACAGAGTCCGCAACACAGAGTCCGCAACACAGAGTCCGCAACACAGAGTCCGCAACACAGAGTCCGCAACACAGAGTCCGCAACACAGAGTCCGCAACACAGAGTCCACAACACAGAGTCCACAACACAGAGTCCAACACCTTTTGACTTTAATTTGAATCAGATTCTCTTTAAATGTGTAATGAAAGCCTAAAGTGTCAGGAAGGACAGCAGTGACCTTCCTCTCTGACGGGAATGTTATTAGTGTCACAGGTATTTGGTCATAAATTACTGGACAAATTAAATTATTGACCCGGTGATGGCGTTGGAGGAAACTGTGTCATTACACTTCATGATGAACACGAGCGCCTCGCGTCCATCCGTCCAGCAGTGGTTGAGATATTTGGTCGTGACTGTGGCAGCTGACACTTTGCATTCATTGATGACGATAAAGGCCTCATACATTTCAATCAGGAAACAGCTGCAGATGTGAATGGATCCATCACTGCACACGTTTAACAGACAGGGAAGGAAAATCCTTCTCTCATTCAACTTAAAACTGCTTCCATCCTTTCCTAATAGAGAATATCACTTTCCTCGGCTTGTAGACGTGTCCAAGAGGCTGTTAATGATACACGTGCTGACCAATATTCATACATGTCAGAAATCTTAGAGATGTAGTTTGAAAGCGTCTCTCTGGACGAATCTTACATTTGTCGACCTCATAAAAAAATCAATAAGCCTTTGGGACGTTAATCAATACGAGAGTAAAGGAATAAGAATCTCACAGTAATGAGCCTCAGGTTGGATTAATGTGTTCATTATCAACCCTCAGGAGAACGAGGTCAAACTGGTTGACTGACTGAACCAAAGGCATCATGGGATTGCCAGTGGACGGATTTCTGAATGACTGAAATCAGTCGGATTCACAGTTTACAGAAACTCATTAACTGCTAACGGTTGGTGATTGAGCCTAAGAAAGAGCAGAAGGTTCGAGTTGTTGGTGTTTTGGTGGAAGACGTTGTCCCGAGAACAGACGGCTCAGAAACACGTATTCCTGGTGTCAGTCTGCTGCTACACAACAAATGCACAGTATGTACGTGATAATGTTATTAATCACTGCATCATAAACATCAGTCTGCACAATATGAGCGATTCTTCACAGCTGCTTCATAATGACAAGTTTCTCATTCAGTTCATGAAATCCCTTCAGAAACCTGAAGGCAGCAGGACGCAAACGTCCACTGTGATTACCTTCATTACATTACATGCAAATGACACCAGGCTTCTACAGAATAACCCCACACACCTCTACACACATCAGACTGGTCGGTTGTATAATATATATATTAATAATAGTTTATGTGGGAGACGTTGGATTACCGGAGCTCATCGATAATCTGTCACAACTTCCTCTCCAACTTTATTTCTATCTAAGAGTAGTGTTTGATCTTATTCTTGACACATTGCACACACAACCTGAAACAGCTTCATCAACATACTTTATCATTTATTTTGATCTTCACAATACAAGTTAAATAAAAGTTTGCAGCAACTGGATGCAGATTGGTGACTCCCAGACAACATGACGTCCTGAAGAAGTCGTGCTTCACTGTGATTGGCTCAGCTGTTTTCAGAGCGATGAGACCAGCGTATTTATTCATTCAATTCAATTTGTATAGCACCAAATCACAACAGGACTTATTTACAGAGACCCAACAGTTCCCACCATGAGCAAGCAAGGAAAAACGTCCTTTTAAGAGGCAGAAACCTCGGACAGACCCCGACTCTAGGTGGGCAGCCATCTGCCTCGACCAGTTGGGGTTAAAGAGAGAGCGAGAGAGAGGCTGGAGGAGCTTCACGCTACATCCACGCCTCTGGTCTGATAATAAATATTCCCACTTTGATGCTGACGTTGAAGTCGGCGTGGCGTTTGAACTGTCAGATGTTTTACCTCCGAGTTCCCTCCACGTCCTCTGTCACTCGAAGGGAGGAGGTCCGTGCCTCCCCTTCATACACCGACTTGGTGGCCACAAAAGTCACCAGCCTCAGCGGGAACCTCACCGCCTTCTTCAGGCGCTTGTTGTTGTTTCGGACGCTCATAAAGCAGAGGGTGTTGATGACCCCGTTGCTCATGGCGATGCACTCTATGATGTAGAAGGCCACCAGGGAGTTCCTTTCTCTGGATATGAGGGTGGGGTAAAAGTCCCTCAGCAAGGCAAAGGCGTAGTACGGTGCCCAGCACAAGATGTAGGCGACCAGCACCAGAATCAGCACCACTACCGTCCTCCGACGCCTCTGGAGCCTCTTCCGGATCTGCTCGGTCTGGAAACCCGGAACGTCCTTAAACCACAGTTCCCTGGAAATCTGGATGTAGCAGACAGCCATGACGGTGACCGGGCCAATGAACTCCAGAGCGAAGACGAGGAGAAAGTAGGAGCGGTAGTAAACCTGCTGGTCCACAGGCCAGATCTGAGCGCAGAAGGTCTTGTAGGTGCGTCCTTCCACATGTGGGTACGTCACCTCAGAGGCCATGTAGGCAGAGGGGATGGAGATGAAGATGGGGACGATCCAAACTGTCAGAATCACGCAGTACGCCGTCTGGTGCTTCATACGAGGCCTCAGAGGGTAGAGGATCGCCATGTACCTGCAGACAGAGAGAGAACAATGTGACAAAGGTGGGTCATGTCGGTCTTTGGTGCCATTATTCCGAAACCCCAATAAGCAGAAAAATTCTTACATTATCCCAGATGTTTCCAACAATGTTCAAACTCAGATAAATCTGTCATTTTATTCAGGTAACGCTGCGTTTCACCGGTCGCCTGTCGATGGCGTCATCTCCCCTTTGTGCCTGCGTCAGTGTTGTGGTTGTCTGCCAGAAGCTGTCATACATTGACTGTTGATCCAGTCTGAAGCCACATTGTTACCATCCACTGTTTAGATCTTGGTGCTTTTTAACTCTAGATTGGAACCGGATGAAGGATTTTAGTCATCGGACGTCTGGATCTTAAGTTATCAGAGAAACAAGCTGAGCTAACGTTAGCAGCAGCTCGACTCGCAGCCCCTCCGGGACGTCCTTTGTCTGTCCAACAGCGTGGGAGAAACAGTGATTGTTAAGGTGGAACTGCTTTATTCAGTGTGTTTAGTGGTTTTAATCAGCGGGTCTGTTTGTGTTGGAGAGGAGGAGACCTCTGTGGATCATTGGGCTCCCGGTAGAAACCTCCTGAACCATGAACACTGAAGGAATCCTAACCAGGAGAAGCTGACTGCAATGACACCAATGGTGACTGGGCAAAACATAATCATGCTGGTGCTGAAGCAGATTTAGGGTTGTTTTCGACAGAATAATTGAGATTGGAAGCTGAAGTGCTGATCCAGAGCTGAGAAGGACACAATCAGACAGATGTTTGCAGGGAAGCTGGGAATACATTGACATTCCCGGATATACTGAGAATATTCATCTCTCTCTGCCGATGCTATTTTTACATGATAGAGGTGTCAGCCATGATAAATGAAACATGGGGGAGGGGGGGGACTGCTGGTCCCAAAGTGCGAGCTACAGCTGATGATAGATGTGATTCAGAAGCTGAAGGGAAGCCCAGAAGCAGCTTTTATTGTAACAGAATGTAAATCATCTCCGGTCAGATCGTCCTCAGAGTGCAGAGGTCTGTTTGATGTCTGTTCTCAAGGTTCCTGCTCTTCTGAAGAAATCATTTTCCAGGACATTTTCCGGGAGTTTTCTCGGTAATCTAGGACAGCACAAGCGGCTGTGTGATTTACCAGTAGGCCTCGTATTGACTGTACATACTCAAAGTTTCCTCTAAACCACAACAGCCCACCGCTTATAAGTAACAGTTCATATTTAGTTATTTTACAGAAAATTCATCTTCTCATCTATTAGTCTGTTAAAAGAAGTAGAAAGTCTTTGTTTGATTTATTAACCACAACAACAAGAACGTTTTCCACTGCGTCCATTTCTGCCAGTGTGATTAGTATTGACTTAGTATCTTAAAATAATGATAAACTTTTTCTCAATATTTTGATATACTAAGTCTAAGTAGTAAATACTAACTAAAATATTAATAAAGTTTATTGTTATAATGATAATTTCATAATCTTTTTTTTCACGTCACATTGGCGGAAATGGACTATAGATTTTCCTCAAATGAAACACATAGACAATCTGAGGGAATGGTTAAAATAAAAATTTCCAGGGCAAAATTGATTATTTCCAGGATATTTGAAGGTGTTTCCATTACTGGAAAACTTTTCTCTCAATTTCCAGGTTTTCCAGGAAGTGTGGGAACCCTGCAGAGCTGCACAGTGTCTGATCGTATTAATGCTGCTTATGTTTTTTCATGCTATGTTCACATAGGTTTGTGTATATGTCATAAACTGAAGAGCTGTTGTTGGGAACAAAGAGTTAACTGTTGGATATACAAAGCTAATGTGGCTAAAACCTGTGATTGATGTTCAGTGTACTGTTTGTTCCTCTAGTACCACGCTGCAGCTGTACTGTATCAGAGGAGTGTGTCTTCTGTCTCGCTGTTGTTATCACAAACAAACCAGAACAGGACCCTCGGCTCTTCCCACACACACACACACACACACACATATGCATTGCTAATGTCATTTGGTCCCAGCGGGGCGTCTCGGCGTCTGAGGCCGGTGGTACAGCCGACGGTCATGTACACGCATGAGGATTAAGTATGAAGGTGATCAGAGGGACAGAACAGAGGAGGTTGGGAAACATGAAGGAGGATGGAAGAAAAAAGAGGAAAGAATGAAGAAGGAAACGGTAGAGGAAAGGGGGGGGTAGCGAAAGAAGAAGAGGGGGATTTATTTATAAAAGAGATGTAAGATCAGTCTTTGATGTTTTTCTGCGACTCTCAGAGTAAAAGTGTGTCGACTAAGACTCTTCTCAGTGACTGTGGGGTACATATTTTAAAACTCAAATATGTACCACATTAGGTAAAGATGAAGATTTGTAGGAGTGAATAAAGAACAACTCGATATTCAGGACTTAAACCTGTGTAACAAACCAAAAGGTGGCACTATCTGCACCAAAAGACCCTTGACACTCACATTTAAATAATACTTGAGATATCTTGTGAACTAACTACAAACCCTCACAGAAGAACCCATTAACTGTTTGATGAAGGTGGACTCACCTGTCCACAGCGATGGCCAGCAGTGCGTTGGTGGACACGTAGAGGGACACGGTGCGCAGGTAGTTGGTGGCGGCGCACAGCAGCAGGCCGTGATCCCACGACAGCTGCTTCACCACGTAGTAGTCCAGCAGGAAGGGACAGCACACGGCCGCCACCAGCACGTCCGACACGGCCAGGTTGGCGATCAGCAGGTTGGTCAGGTTGCGGAGCTGCTTGTAGCGGGCCAGGCTGGCGATGAACAGACAGTTTCCCACGCCGCACACCAACATGATGCCCACCAGGACCACCGCGATGACGATGGTGGCCACGAAGAAGGCCCGGCCCTGTGTGGTGTCCGGGATCTCGTCCAGAGGAATGTCATAGTCCAGGACTTCGCTGGCCGGGAAGTAGTCGGTCAGAGCCAGGCTGCTGTTGGTCGGGTCGCCCATTTTAGATCAGGTCAACATGCTCATATAGGGTCGTCTGCGGGGGGGTGGGACAGAAAACACAGTAACAGTTTTATAACAATGAAGGTCCGTTTATTAGCTGTTCTGGAGCTTTCAGTCGTATCTCATGATCTGCACATGGAGTTCGGACAGTTGTAGAACTATAGATTTCCCTACTTTCATGATTCTTTCTTTAAGGGTTATAGAAATAAAGCACTAGAGCATAACGCACAATGGGAAAGAAATCAAATAAAACTCACCAAAACTGTCTCTGTTAGTGTTTCCAACAACCACCAACTCTGGTTTGGTGGTAAATAAATCCTTAATTCACCAAGTTAGATGTTAAAATATTCCTGAAAATGGCTTCATTTTGTTATTGTCAGTGTCTGACAGCATTATGGAAAGGATCCCTACAGAGATAGACCTTTAGTTTAACCACAAACAGCCGTAATATCACTATCACTCTCCACCAGACTCCAGAGACACAAACACTAATTTTACCTTCAGATCATCAGAACTTCATTCAAAGTGGACAGAAACAGAATCAAACTCATTAAAGCGTCTCTGTTAGTGTTTCCAACAATCACCAACTCTGGTTTGGTGGAAATAAATCCTTAATTCACCGACGTAGACGATAAAAACAGCAGTTTCAGTCGGAGCAGACCGGCTATGGAAACAAACCACAGAGAGGCTGCGATACAACACAGGCAGAGGGAGAGAGACACCATGTGACTCTGTGTATAGAGAATATAATGTTAGCTGATATATTAATGTTTAAATCTCCTCATATATAAGAGACCTTTAAACCTACCACGAGGAGTTTTTAACTGGTTATGAAACAGTTTGATACTGAGCCTCTATTTGAGCTACATAAACCATCAGAGAGAAGATTTAATATTTCTACATAGTTATTATTAAATGTCCAACGGGTTTAAAATAAATTAATAAAACACAAAATGTTTCTTGTAGGAGCTTTAAGTTGTTAACGTCAGATAAACAGTGTGCTGATGGTGCTGAAGGAACAACAGTGTGGCTCTTTGATGTGGATGCTTCAGCTGGTTTATGTCTTCAGTGGATTTGTTGACAATAATAAAACTACAGAACATCACTTATGCTTTAACATCCTGTTGGCGGGCGGTGGTCACCAGTGGACCTCTCACACACACACACACACACACACACACACACACACATAGACTCTAGATTTAGTGCTCCATGTACACACGGCTGTTTGGCCTCTCGGTGTAACTTCACAAACGTTGGATCTGAGTTTTTTAGATGCAACGTTTTCATGGTTTTGCCGATGGTGTTGCTAGGTTACGGTGTTCACGTAGTCTACTTGTGAGATCTGTCCACCGGTTGGGGAATGTGGCGTCTCAGCTCTGACGTCTGAAACTCTTTTACTGCTCCGACACGAGAGCTCTGTACTACACTGTGGTGTGTCGGCTGCATTAGAGCGGGCCTCTGATAACTGATGGGTGTCTGAATACGACTACAACATGGCAGCTCAATTAATCAGCCCTGACTGATTATTGATTAACAGCTGCTGTTGGTTTAAGTTAGAATGTATTAAAAAACAACAGTTCCCCAAGTTAATCTGACCCGTATGGAAGTATTTTAATGCGAGAAAATAGATGATTTAGATTAATTAAATATGACATTGTAACTCATAACATGACTTTACTCAAGGGATAAACTGATTATCCTGCTGGCTGATCAATGGATCAGATATTCAGCGTTTTATCTGATTATCTGTATTGTTTTTATCCAATCGCCAATAAAAATTAATTAATTTAAAAATACACAACTTTGGCTCATTGTGCTCGTCTTCTTTGTAAGGCGTCACAAGTACTAGGAAAACATAGATAATATGAAATATATATTAATTACAATAGATAACGGCTCCATAAATTCCTTTATTTATCAGATCTACAAAATTATATAAATTATAGAATCCTTTTTTATTATTGCTGAAGTACGGTATAATTTCTATATCTTCTCTTCTGTAAAAGTAAACTGGCCAATATGAATCACAATTAGTGATCATTTTTGTCTCACAAATGTCATTTTTACAGAAAAAAACTATTAAAATTGTGATGATGAGACATGTTTTGGGGTCTTTAGCAAATAAACATGTTTTATTAAGTCTTGAGAACAACATTTGTCGGTCAGGTCTCTGCAGCTTTTCATTATAATTCTGTTTATCACATTTTACCTTCATCCAACAAACTGCAGCTTCTGCCTCTTGGATATTAAACTTTCCCACATTGAGATTTCAATAATATTTCGAATCATTGTGCAGCTCTTCTTGATATCACTGAACAACTTAACCGTCTCATTATATATCTTTACATTCCTAACAAACATGTTTCATGAGTTTAAAGACGGAGCTGTATTTTAACGGTTGCAGTCTGAAACTTCACCACTAGATGTCACTGAATCCTTCACACCAGGTCCTTTAAATTAAAATTATAATAGCATCTCAAAAGTTGACTCCTTATATCATAATTAGGATTAATTACAATTCATTATAATACTGCAAGTTTTAAGTTTATCTTTCTTTTACTTGTCATGCATTTATTTATAATCTTGGCATGAATTAACTTCCATATATTTTACTAAAAATCTGTTCTATTTAAAAAAAAACTGCAGGTTAATGAATCTTTATTCAAACAGCTGATGGACATTAAATAGTTAGTAACTGATTATAGCTGCTGTTAATAATATGACGTGGATGTTGTTCTCCATATAGTTGTTATTAAATATATTTCAGAGCTGCAGCGGCTGACTGATCGATCCAAAGAAAATCAATTGGCAACAATTTTTTCAAGCATAAGCACCAAATATTCTCTGGTTGCAGCTTCTACACGTGAGGATTTCACAGTAAATTATATATGAAACTGAACGATTAATCAATTAGTCAAGAAAACGATCAGCAGATTAAATAATAATGAAAGTAATCATTACATGCAGCTCTAATGTGTTTATATTATTACAGTCAGCTGTTTATGTTTGTTTATATTGATTTTTATGAACATTGTTATTTCATTATGTGAACACACAACAAGTTACTTTTAATATAAACTGACTTTAATTAGATTTCATTTAAAAACTAAATATAAATATAACTGGTGTCTGTACATTTAATGAACATTATGTCCAGTTTCTTTTGGATTTATGAATCAGAATTAAATTGAACTGTAAAATCAGATTTAAACAAAGATTCATTCTTAAAGTCCAACAGTTAAAGATAAATATTAGAGTTTCTCTACATTTAACATCCAGCTGCTGTCCTGATGTGACCTGAATTACAGTAACTAACAGTATCTTTATTATCTTCATTATTTCAGCATTCAGAGCGAATTCATGTTGAAATATGAATGAATATGAATGAATATGAATGAATGGATGAATGAATGGATGAATGGATGAATGGGAGATATATTATTACAAACTCCAACATCAAACTATATTTCCTCCTCGCGACATTAACCAGGATCCACTGCGCCACGTGAGGACACCCTGAGGCTTCACTGATAATAATAACAACAATAACAACAACAACAATAATTATATTAATAATAATAATAATAATAATAATAACAACAATAATAATAATAATCTGACATACGGACCTGAAGCTGCTTCCTCGCGCGCTCTGCTCCACTGAATGACAGAAAGTCCGCGAGCGAGGCGCGTTAACGACATATAACGAGCCGCCGCGCACGCGCACGCGCACGCACCTCAGTGATTGTATGTGTGTGTGTGTGTGTGTGTGTGTGTGTGTGTGTGTGCAGAGGGACCAGGTCTCATCCAGGTCTCATCCTGATCAACTGCTGATCACTTCACTCGGTCACATGATGGAGATGATCTTCCACCTGTTTATTAAACAGATACAACTATAAAGTTTCTCCTCATCACTGAAATAAGATTCTTCTCATCATAAAACATTCTTTCTTTTTTTTCCTCATTCAACAGTTTTTAGTATTTTATTGTGTCGTACATTCATTTGCAGCATATGTTGAAACTAAGAGTATTCACAGAAAAGAAAAAAATGGTAGCTGCATCAATCAAGTGATTATAATTGTGAAACTATACCCAGATTCTTCTCTCTTTCCAGAGAGAAGAGTCAGACGTCTTGCAGTCAGGGATGTGGATGCTCTGACTGTGCAAGCTTTACCTTTGAGGGAGCGAGTTTCACGGGCACATACGGAACATTTTACTGTAGGCTGTAAAGATGTTGGCAGGACCAGAACATGTGTGTGTGATCTGCTGGTTGGATTCACATCAGAGGACATTTTCTCCAGTCTTGATTTGGTCAAGTGTGCTTTCAGAACGACTTTGAGTTGTATTAGGCTGTGTCGAGCAGGGGAAGAGGAATGTACCAGTTTAAGCACTGTCTCCCATTGATCATTTGTCATATGCAGTGAGTGAGGAATGATATCACATATATTATTGTAAAGAGTGGAAATCAGACCCTTACGATATGGAGACAATGAAAGAATACGATCGATCATATTATCCGGTGGAAGGTCTGGAAATGAAGTGATACTCTTCTGGGCAAAGTGCCTAAGCTGTTTGAGATTCCTGAAGAAGTGACACTTTGGTAAAGTAAATAGTCCGGAGAGTTCTGCCAATGATCCAAGTTTACCATCCACATTGATTGGAAAGAGAGGGTGGAAAGTTAGAATTATTCCTGATGGGAGAGTGTGTAGATCACCACCACCAGGTTGGAGAGAAATTGGTTTGGGGGAGGGGGCATCGGGGCACATAGTATAAAGCTTATAGCAGACTACAGGCTTTTTCCATTTGCACCCAGGCCTCACATCTACCACCCTGGTCTCCTTCCATCCAATGTAACATAACTTTTATATTACATACCCAGTAGTAATGAGTTAAATCAGGTAGGCCCAGGCCAGCAAGCTTTTTAGGTCTTTGGAGGGCGATTCTTTTTATTCTGTGTGGTTTACTCTTCCAGATGAACGATAATATGCTGCTGTGCAATGAATTAAAACATTTTTTAATCAAGTTTGGAATGTTTTGAAAGAGGTAAATAAATTTATTTAGTACAATCATTTTAATGAGATTAATCCTGCCAGTTATGGACAAAGGGGGGTTTCCATCTGATCATGTCTTTTCTAGATTTTTTAAATAAAACGTTTTAGTAAAGAGGAGAAAGCGGATTTGATCTCGATCCCTAGGTATTTAAAGTCCTTTCTATCATAAAACATTCTCCATTCAAACTCAGTGGAAGCATTACAGAAAGGATCCCTACAGAGATAGACCTTTAGTTTAACCACAAACAGTAATATCACTATCACTCTCCACCAGACTCCAGAGACAAAAACACTAATTCTACCTTCAGATCATCCTAACTTCATTAAAGTGGACAGAAACAGAATGAAACTCATTAAAGCGTCTCTGTTAGTGTTTCCAACAATCACCAACTCTGGTTTGGTGGAAATAAATCCTTAATTCACCGACGTAGATGTGACAATGTTTCTGAAAAAGGCTGAAGACATTCAGCTTGAGCCCCAAAGAGCCTGAATATCTACTTTAAATATATTTATACATTAATTTAAATAGTTTACTAGAAGCTGAAATAAAGTACATTGTGAATATTATATAGTGAAAGTTATTATAAACATGAATAAGCAACAAATACAGCCTCATGTGTTGTTCATAAAATATTAAATATATTTAATACATTCTCTGTTCGGGCAGTTTGGGGATTGAACCCAGCCGGTCGGGTAGGGTCAGGTTCGGGCCAATAAGGTGCAGCAACAGTGACTTCATAATAATGGTACAAACCAAATATTGAAATAATTCTGAACTAAAACATGAGTCATGGTGACTTAATGCAGGATAACACATTTATTTATTCGTGGTTATTACATAAAGGTTTGATGTAAATGTTGGATCGTCGTTTGAGAAGCTTTAATCAGGAGAAGAAAAGATAATTATGTTGACCCAGTTGTTCCTTTATGTGTCTGTGATTCCGGCTGTCAGATGTTAAGTGGATGTTCGTTCTATGGCAATGTGGAGCCAGTCATTACTCTGAAGTGATATTGGAGCGACCCTCTGGACCCGCTGAAGTGTCGTCTCTGACCTCCCTGTCAAAGGAGGACAGAGGAGGACTCAAATTGAGCTGTACAATTTTCTGTCTGTATTCTGGGTTTTTATCATTTTTAACAATCAAACATGTGATTTAATAATAATAATAATTAATAATCTTCTTTTTGGACAGAGTTCAGGATTTTCTTCCCCTCTGCTGCCTAACCACTGTTCTTTTATACAATTTACTTTATATTTACTTTTCTTCACTGCACTGAACTTAATGCTGAGCTGTCGGCCTACTGTGTGTATCTTTTTACGTTTTCTTAAACCCCTTAAAATCAAGAAGTCCTCGCGACCCCCTTGTGAATCTTTGGTGACCTCCAGTGGAGGCCCGACCCCCAGGTTGGGAACCGCTGATTGAAGAGGATCTATTGTCAGAAACAGAATATAATATTTCATTAATGCCATGTGCAATATACCAACAAATATTCTCTTATTGTTGTTTATTTTTCCATTTATATTAAATATATATATATCGTATATTCTACCGATCAGCCCTGTTGTTGTTGTTGTTTACAATGGTGATGTCATATCTGGTTCAGTAGGTAATTATCAGTTATCATATCATGTAATTGTTGAACGGGGAGTTTCTGAAGGTCTTTTGGAGTAAACCGACCTCGTTAGCTTTCACGGAGCCGCTACCATGTTGACTCTTTCAGTCACAGGCCTAAAACACGACCCTGCTGTTTCCCACCACCATCCTGTTCACCTTTTTTTCCCCCACAGGATAGTGAAGTCATGACCTGCCCACTCACTCTGACCCTGACCAATCTGATCAGCCCGAACCAGGACCACAAACTCATCTGGAAACTGTTTACTGAGCTCATAAATCCACTGAGGAGTCGGCTCATTTCTCCATAAGACTGAATGGTATCTGTTTATATTGCAACCAGTGGAGCTGCCCCCTGCTGGCCGTTACATAGACTGCAGGTTTAAGACACTTTAGGACTCTGTCCGTTATATAAGCTGCCAGTGGCACAACAGGCACCGTTATGGGGACTGATGAGGTTTCTATATCTGTGGTCGCAGGCGGCAACCAGACCTCCCAGATGGCATCGACCACAGCCGCCACACGTTGAGCTTCAGATCGACTCTGGGTGGGTCTGAAGAGGTTAATTAAACTGAATTTGCTGCTGGTGCTGTTGTTCTCAGTCGCTGTATAACCTTAACATGAAGGTCACAATGAGGTGGACAGTACGGGCTGGTGTCCTTCATTTCTCTTCAATCTCCACCAGTGGAGACTTTAATTTATTTTTAGCTAAATATCTCCTCCCATTGCCCACACACACTGCTGTCATCTCCATGACAATCAACCCTTCACAAGGTGATGAAGTGTTGACATCAGGCCTTGTTCAGCTGCCGGTCGATCATTAATAACTCTACGTATGAGCAGTCAACAAGGTGAAATACGGTTCTCGCTGCCGGCAACACAGATCAATAACAGCTGGAGGAAGAAACACGACACAAACAGATGTTGTTGACGCACTTTTTCCTGCAGCAAAGAAAACGTCTAAAAACATCACAACTATTTAGAAAAGCTGCTAAAACACCCTGGAGGGAGTCTCAATACTTATTGATGTTATTTGATATATTTGATTACTGTTCGACAAAACCTGAGGAAGAGGTGAAATGATGGAGTACGAGATCTGAATGGGACATAATAATAAAAAGATTTTTAGATGATCTTTAAATGTCAGAAAAACGTTCTCTAAAAAATTCATTAAACATGCAACAGTGAATGTATCTACTAATAACGACTGTGTATTAAAGTCTTCCTCCTCTGTCGTCCCAAAACTGTTACAAATACATCAATGGATTATTTACACACTGTTCTGCTGCCCCAAATACTCACTAGAGCACCGAATGTGGATTCATACGCTGCAGAAAATAGTCCCCAACAAACATTATATTATCTATATATTATTCTGTTTCTGTCCACTTTGAATGAAGTCACGATGATCTGAAGGTAGACAGGAAGTCAGAAAGTAGTGAGACAGAACACATTGTTGGTGAAATACAGAATATTCTCAGCCCTCAAAGACGCAGTATAATACAGTTTATCAGGAGTGTTCGGGGCTGAAGGAAGAAAACTCAGATCTAAAGCAACAATTATGTAAAAGCCTTTTATTTTACAAAACAAGATGCAGGCCAGAGACTTTTTCCTCACTCGACCACGTGAATGACAGAATTCAAACAAAAAGGTAAAAAAAAAACATAATTCAAAAAAAGCTCTGTGGGATTTACAAAAATCAGAAAGGATCTGGGAACACAACGGAAATCCAGGGACCGTCCCTCTCCCACTCAGAGTCTCTTTGTGTCCAGAGATCAAACCCTTAAGGACTACTTCTTGGCGTACGTGATCTTCATGGCGCAGGTCGCCGTGATTCTGAAGCCCTGCAGCGCGTCTTTAGCCACGCCCGCCTGCGTGTCGCTCTCGAACTCCACGAAGGAGATGTCGTGTTTCCCCGGGACGAGTCGCACCTCTTTGAAACCGGGAAACCTGCAGAGGGACAGAGAAAGAAACCCAAATGACAACAGTCAGCGCACACACACACACACACGCCTGCTTTCTGCATGAACACCAACGTGGCGACTGTGAACT